GTGCCCGATTCCCGGAGCAACGCATTTTCTTCCCAAACACTGTATTTCTCCCACAACTTCGTGTTTTGAATATTCGCTGACGGCATCTTGCCCACGTCGTCCAAGTGTGATGATGTGACATAAAAATTGAAGTTTAGTCATCTCAGGGGTTATCAGGGAAAGGAAAAACTAGACGTGTGAGATGTGAGAGGGAGGGAAGGGAAGTTTATACAAACTGAATTGGCTCTGGAGGATATGGTCCCTGTGATAATGTCCCTGTGCTAAACTGCCTTGTACCTATTGCTCCCTATTTAAGGACTGTCAAAGCGAAACCCCCAACAGCGGTTTATTATACAGAACGAAGGTATTTGGGAAACCATTTTCATTTACAGCCTGAGCTGATGAATGCTTAAACACCGTATCCATTGGTAACTACTTTTTGTGAGTGCTTGTGATATAGGTAGCATGCAGGCTTGTTTCCGTTTTCTGAAGCAGGGATTCGTGCTTTTTTTTCTGCCCAAAGAGAATTAAAAGAGGTGAAGATAATGACTTGAATATTGTGTACTTTCTATTTCTATTTTGTATATAGTTGGCTCGCATAATTATCTGCGTGGGCCAAAGTCTAGCTTTTCAATTCTTTTATACACACAACCAATTCTTGATTATTCAGAAACAATACCGGTTTGTGGTATTTTGGTTGCATTTCATTGCAATGGGTAGTGAAGAGATATATGTTAAGTTCAGTCTTCAAATATTACTTAGCAACATATCACAGAAAGAGGTTTATGTAAATATCTTAAAATGGCTTTTGGGCATTGCTCAGTGACTTTCATCTGTACTAAGCAAGTTTGTGTTTCTAGGAACAAATCATAAGGGAGAAAAAGTCTAAAGGCAGCATAACTGGGTCAGTATAACAATATGTAAATTGCTGTATATTAAGTAGGTCTTAATTTTTTAAAATCATGGAAACCTTTTGAGACTATGAAAACAATATTCTCCCCAGAAAAATGTACATATGTATAAAATGTGCCTATGAATCTGTGGGATTCACAGACATTCCCCAGATTAAAGACAGGATAGAAAAGACTTGATTAAATAAGGGGAAATAAAACTATTATGTTTTAGGTGAAGGTGAGATACTCTTTCACCTTTTTTGAAAAATAAAAATTAATCATCCTTAATTTATTACGGTATTAAAACAAGTGTAATCATTTTGTGACTTGTTAGAATTCCTTGAAAGAATAGGTGTGATCATGCCTTCGAAACTGATTTTGAGATGTAAAATGTGGGTAGCTTTCTTTAGTTTGGTGGTTGTCAAGTTAGGAATCCCATTCATAGTATTAAATAATATAGCCCCTTGAGGAAACAGGTGAAATAACCTACTTAATATATAGCTATTAGTTACTTATGTTATCTGACTTAAAACCCTTGAGTTTTTAAAGCATTATAAACTTGCCGTAGATCAAAGTCAGAAAATGATTTTCAAGGGTTGGGTTCAATTGTATGAAATAGTTCCAAAAATTTTATAAGTATGTGCCTACATAGAAAGTATAACCTGTTGTCATTCATCCTCCAAGTTCAGACATTTGGAGTTGGTCTTTTCTGATTTTTTTTTCTCTTTTTCACTTGGTATTTCTCCATAATATTCACAAATGAACTAAGTTCTTCTTTGAGACATCATTTTGCTATGGCTTCCATGACACAACATGGTTTCCTCGTCCTCTAAACACTCCTTTTCCTTCTTTACATGATTATCTTTCACCCAGGTACTAACTATAGCAGTTCTTCAAGGCTGTCTTCAACCCTCTTCTCTTGTGTGCTTTCTCTAGGTGATCTCATCAACACCCACAGCTTTAAATTTCTACCTCGGTGCAAAATGAGTCATGAAATTATATCTCTAACCCAAACCTTTTTGAATATCACCATATATCCCACTGGGCTACTTGATAGTTATTTGGGGTATCTTGAAGGAGTTTATAATCATAGTTGCTGCCCCCTTCCCACAAGCTCTTCTTCTACTGTTCCATACCTTAAAGAATGGCACTACCATTTATTGAGTGTTGCAAATCAGAAATCTTGGCAGGATCCTTATCTTCTTTTCACTCTTCATATCAGAGCCATATTATTAAGTCCTAAGTCCTAAGTATTTTGTCTCCAAAACGTCTCTTATTAACTGTCTTCTTTCACAGTAACTGAAAGTGATCTAGTCTTTCTATGCGAACAATTTATACAAAGCTAAAACTGTGAATGTGGAATTAGTTTGTTCTCGTATTTGTTTTTAATGAGAATAGACCAACTTGAAGGCACGGTGAGAGTCAGTACACAATTAAACAAAAAGTATTCACTGATAAATGTTTTTAACTTAGGTCAGTTCTCAGTCAGTCTTAATAGTGACTTTTCTGAAGTAAAAATGTAGTGGCCTAAAATCTGTTCACAGCCTATTATGGACTGTAAATTGAGTTTGATGAGAACTTTGATAAGTTAAAGTTTAATGAAAAGCTTCTAGAGAAGAAAACTCCCTGGTCAGGAGCAAAGTCATAACCTATGTACTAAATATAAATAGCGATGTCACCATGACCCAGGAAGGTAGAGAGGTAGTACAAAAGATATTTCAACCCCACATGAACTTAAAATGTAGAACAAGCCAAAAAGTTTTGGGTTCATAAAAGTATTGAGTGTGTACCTAAAAAACATTTGATTCCATCAGAACTATAAATTATATATATAGGAAGGATCACAAGTTTTGAAGACAATATCTAATGTTCTTCACATACTATAAAGAGAACTTAATTTTTTGACCTAAAAAATTATAGCAGTTTGCCTTTGTTAAAATGTAATTACAGACGTTTTATGGTATATGGTCTATAAAAATGGATTACCTCTGTCCTATCCTATTGTCTTCACTGTCAAATATGTTCACTACTTAAACAGCTATAAAACATGAACCTAAATTTTTAAATAACTAAAATCATTCTTAAAAAAAAAAAGATAAAGTGTCCTGAATGTAAGATTCTTGTGAATCAATCAAATGGATCAGCTACATTTCAAAGTTTTCTCTGCCTTCTTTCTCCCCAGATTTTGACATTATGGCAGGGAGGCATCAGAATCGTAGTTTTCCTCTTCCAGGAGTTCATTCAAGTGGTCAAGTACATGCATTTGGAAATTGTACAGAGAGTGATGTGTTGGAGGAGGATGTTGAAGTGTATGAGCTTCGATCCAGAGGAAAGGAAAAAATCCGAAGAAGTACATCAAGAGATAGACTTGATGATATTATAGTATTAACAAAAGATATACAGGAAGGAGATACTTTAAATGCCATTGCTCTTCAGTACTGTTGTACGGTAAGTTTTAATTTAATATTGTATGATGCAGTCCAAAATAATCTGTTCATAGCACAAATTGAAATAAATGCTTTGCCTTTTCATTTCGTCCTATGCCCTACCCTTTTTTCTTCTTTCCATAGAAATCTGTATCATGTAGGTGGATGTTAACTTTTTAAATTAAGTGAAAACTTGAATTTCTTGTCATTTCTAGATCCATGATTCTGTTTTTAGTATTGAAAAACACCCAAGTGTGTTACCTTTTTCTCCTTATCCAAATTGTAAGAAAATGTGGAAATACTTAAGGAAGTTTTTCTTGCCCCAGTTTCCTGAGATAACACACTTGTGTTTCTTTCCATACCTTTTTTGTCCGTTTAAGAAATTATCCCATGTTTATATGTACCACTTCTTCTTTATCCAATCATCTATCAAAGGGCACTTCCATGTCTTAGCCACCGTGAATAATGCTGCAATGAGCATCAGGTACATACATTTTTACACATGTTTTCAAATTTTGGGGGTAGATACCCAGAAGAGGGATTGCTGGGACATATGGTAATTCTATTCTTAATCAAAAAAACCCACTTTAAATATAAAGTCACAGTAGATTAAAAATCAAGGGATTAAGAAAGATATACCATGCTAACAGTCATACAATCAACTAATCTTTGACAAAGTATATATATATATAAAATACTTGGGAGATTGGTGATTATTGTGGTTTTTAAATTGGTTTATGCTATGCTTATTACTCTATAAATTGCCTTAGTCTTTTTTCATTTCCTAGTGTATCATAGATATCCCTCATAGCCTTATAGATCTAACTCATTATTTTATGTAGCTATATAATATTCCATAGTATCAATATGCCATAATTATTAAGCCATTCTCCTCATGGATTGTCAGGATTTTCCCTGTGTTTTGCATTTTGCTGTGAATGTCATCACAATTAATCCTTAAATAGAGGTACTTTTATTTCTGTAGGATAGATTCTCAAAAGTGGGACTGACAGATAAAAGGAAAGGTATATTTTTTATTTTAGTTCATATTAAACTGTTTAAAACCCAAGTGTATCATTATGTCCATCTTGCATCCTTAGCATGGAATCTGTTTTCATATAAACACGTTGATGTAAAAACTGTTTAGAACATTGATTTTCAAACTATTTGTTCTTGTACTCAGTAGAATTTTGCAATGTATGTACTGTGTACCTCGGACATTTTAAAGTGAACTTCTTAAATATGTCCTCATGACTTAAAATAGTTACAAAGGATATAGTTTCTAGAATGTTGTCAATACTATTATTTAAAAATAAGACTGTTAGAATACTCTTTAAATGTATGCATGGAATTCTAAATATTACCAGGATTTGCTACCTGAAATCATTCATTTAAATATATATGTGCTCTTTTTTTAATCGCATGAAATTTTATATCACTTTTTCTCCTTGGTTAATATTTTCATCCTCTCCCCCCCAATCTTTCATAATATATTCTTGTACTTGAAAACCTTTTATAATTATATATTATTATCTGCAATAGAAACACAGATTTATAAACATATATAAATATAGTTATGGAAATGTTTTATGACCATGAGGTGCTATATGTTTTTCTGAAGTAATTATTCTTAATTGATCAAAACATAAAAATTTTGATTTAAAAAGTTAATACAATATTTTATTGAAATGTATTTCTTGATATGAGGCCAGAAGAGCTGGGTTTTGGGTTTGTTTTTTGTGTTCGGTTTGTTTTTTACAGTTCATGTATGGCAGTACCATTTATTATTAAATCAGAAAAATACCTGATTTCATTTTTTTATGCAAATAAATGTGAAGGTGTGGTTTGTAGAAAAATAAGACCACTGAGAAATAAATTACAGAATGTGCCTTAAAAGGTTGATTAGGTAAATTGAAAATTGAAAATGAGGGGTGTTGCTAAAAATACCAAGTTGAGATCCAAGAGATGAGTGTGGTCCAGTAGCTTCATTAGAGAAAGACATTAGTTTTCCTTTCATAAATCTGGAAAATTTTCTTAGAAGGAGCTAAGTTTGAAATGCCATATAGACGATTAAAAATAGGTCATATTTACAATGAGATAGGTGAAAAGGAGAAACTATTTCAAGCATATAATAATGATATGGAGATTTCAAGGAAGAAATAAGGTGAATAATAGAGAAGTGTGGTTCAGAAATGAGCATCATAGACTGGGATGAAGCATTTGAGTTAACTGAAGAGAAGTTTGACCCATATAGTAAGAGAACACCGTCATACAATTTTAACAAGAATGCTGCAAAATGGTGGGGGAGCCTGCTGGTGAATTGGAGGGGATTCATTAAAGAGTATATTGGAATAATTCAGAGGAAGATGATTAGGGCTTAAACTATTTGTTAGTAAGAATAGAGAAGAAGGTGATAGAAAATGTATTTAGTAGAAGTCACATAACATATCAGCTGATTCCTTTTGTAGAATGAGAATGATGAAAGGCAATTAGCTTAACATTTGAGGAAAGATGACATTGGCCATAGTGGGAAAATTGATACAACAGAGTTAGAAAGTTAAGATAAGCAATGCTCAAGTAGCAAAAAGAAAAAAAAAAAAAAAGATTAACCTTACCAAAGGACTTTTCATTTAAAAAATAAACAGTATTTAGTGCTGTGTGCCACTTACAGATACTCAGTCATAGGAATGATTGAAAATATGCCAGTTATAAAACAGTAATAAGAAACCAGAAAGCCTAAGGTTAGACTCCTAAATTAACCAAGCAAGTTAACATAACAGCAAAACTATAGGACTATTGAGAACCAAAGTAGATACTAAACCTTGGAAGCTTAGTTCAGAAAGAGTATTGAGCAATTATTAGAATATAACCAAGCAAAAAACATTTAAAGAGAAGAGGGTCAGGTTTGCGGTTTGTCAATGAATTTTTGCCTTAAGAAAAAACAGTCTCAAGGTAGTAAAATGACAGAGCACCCTTCGTCTTTCATGTCTTATCTCCTAGTTATTCTTCAGTCCTCTCTCCCTCCTCCTCCCACACATACACTTCAAGGGAACTGATTTTTCCAACCAAAAACTCTTACCAGTCTTCTTAGGACTTGATCAGTAGTCTGCCATTGACCAGTTTACTCTCTCCTTAAAACTGTTTGTTTGACCTCCTTGATTCTGCAGGTTTCTGATTTTCCCACTGTTAATATTTAATGACAGTTAACATTTCCATAACATTTGCATCACTATACTAAATGTCCTTCATACATTTTAACTCATTAACTTTTACAACCCTATATGGTAAGTGATATTATTACTGTCATTTTACATAGGTGGAGACTGAATTTCAGAGGTTAAACAACTTGTCCCAAATCATACAGCTAGAAAGTGTCATAGCCATACTTCAAATCCAAGTAGTCCATGCTTTTAACCACCATCATATATAGCTTTCTTGGTCACTCTTAATCTTTGTGGACTTCTCTTACTCAGCATACTTTTCAAATGTTGGTGTTCTTCAGACGTCTTTCCTGTGTTACCTTTTACTCCGTCTTTTTCTAGTGACTATACTCTTGTGACTTCAGTTACCATTTTCGCTGGTAATCTTCAAATGTATATTTCTAGACAGGATCATTCTTCTGAATTTCAGACATCTATAACTGCTTGTTGGACATCTTCCACTTGCATATTTCAAGCACCTCAAAGGCAACATGTATAAAATCTGCATTCATTCTTTTTTCTCCCTGCAAGTGTTCTATGTCTCAGTAAATAGCATCATCCATTGAGTTGACCAAACCAGAAATCTAAGTTTATCCTAGACTCACTTTACCTCTCTGACATCAATCAAGTGATAAATGTTCAAGGTTTAGTTTAGAGCATAGATGGAAATGAAGAATGAGATAAATAGCTTAAAGGTAGTAGGAGAGCTTGGCATGGTAATTGCTAATCTGAGAAACACTCCCCTATGTCTTCTCACAATGGCAAGTGAATAGAATATACAGGTAGGTGGAAGACTACATAATACATAGGGAAAGCTTATAAAAATGACTGCTCTCGGGGATAGTTGAATACTGCATTTACACTGAGAAATTTGGGAAAATTTGAGAAGTTAAAAGTTGTATTTTATCAATTCTATGGTATATTTTTTCACATTTTAACATTTTTGACATTGGAATGGGGGCATCTTCAGTATTAGGTGGGTTTTTTACTTAATGATAAAGTAATGGCGCATCTTGGTTTGATAGCATCTTAATCTTGATAAAATATGGTAGTTTTAGTTGGGTAAGTTGACATTTACCTATATTCTTAATTGCACATTGGAAGAACATAAGTATCTGTAATCTTCACAAATTGTTCACAAGCTGCAGAAGTGTGATATTTGTGCATGATATAGAAAGAGAAATAGGTTCCTAGAATCTACATAAATAGCTAGCACTAGTGTTATTAACTTTGGGTGAAAGTAAAAAGTCAATTGGTGATTTCCTAAGACTGGGGTAGATCAAAAGTGGTATAGAACTGTTATGCACAAATAAAATCTCTTTGGATGTGATAACTTAATACTACTAATAATTAATCTCAGCATTTTTTTCCCTCCCAAAATAAGTGGGGTGAATGAGTATTACTACATCTATTTTGAATTGGAATTCAGTTGAATGTTTTTTTTTTTTTTTTTTTTTTTTAACAGGTAGCAGATATCAAGAGAGTTAACAATCTCATCAGCGATCAAGACTTTTTTGCCCTTAGGTCTATCAAAATTCCAGTAAAAAAGTTTAGTTCATTGACTGAAACACTTTATCCTCCAAAAGGAAGACAGGCTTCACGTCCTTTATCTGTTCAATTCGTTCCAGAACAACAGGAAATTTTGTCACCTAATGATTCTCTTTCTTCCAGTGAGTCAGCTGGTAGCTTTTTAAAAGAAGTGGACCGAGACATAGAACAATTAGTAAAATGTACAGACACCAAAAGAGAGAACCTTAACGAGGTGGTGTCTGCCTTAACAGCACAACAAATACGTTTTGAACCTGATAACAAAAACATTCAACGTAAGGATCCTTATTATGGAGCAGACTGGGGAATAGGGTGGTGGACAGCTGTAGTGATAATGTTGATAGTAGGTATAATAACGCCAGTATTTTATTTGCTGTATTATGAAATTTTAGCTAAAGTGGATGTTAGTCACCATTCAACAGTGGATTCTTCACATTTGCATTCAGGAGTCACACCCACATCACAGCAGAGAGAAGTGGAAAATGGAATTGCTCCAACTCAAAGAATACCTTTTGACCAACAAGGTGAACATAAACTATATAGTCATGATTCTCAGTCACCTGCTGCTCAACACAAAACATAGCATTAGCTCATAGTTACAATGTTAGTGATCACATATACATCTGGAATGTGGTGAATCAATTATATTCAGTAACCACTTCAAAGGCAAGATTTAGGGAGATTGAAGATGCTTTTGTTTTTCACCTTTTTTGAGCCATTTACAAATGGATTGAGAATAAAATCCCTGCAGTTGCTACTTGATATTGAGAGCAGTAAATCCATATATCTGTTGTATAAGTGCTTAAAGCAGAAATGAATTTAAATATGTCTAGAAAGTTCTTAACTTAGAAAACCTGTCTTTTTTCTTAAGACTGGTTATGTTTAAATTTTACTTTTTAATTATTTTTTTGGTTTAAGGTTATTGATGTTACAAAGCAGAATAATGATAGCATCAGATATCTGCAACTGAATAAAATTTACTGTGAACCATCAAAATATTTAGTTGCAAAAAAGTGATTCTAAAATTATGAGCACGCATACTTAATACTCCATTTTGAAAGTTTTTGAAAACAAGTTTAGCACGTCTGCCATGAAAACAAGTAGAAACAAGTGGGAAAATAATGTGTAATGTCTATAATAGAGGCTAAGATATATATTAAATGTTATTTTTAAGCCCCTAAAATAATGTGTTATGGTTGGGAAGTTGCTATTTGGTCACTAGAACACTGGATTAGGTCAAGACCTAAAAGTAATCTTTGTCTCTTAAAGAATGCTGCCTTTGCTTCTGTTTTTTAAGTGATTCTATTTGCCTCTGATATTTGAAAGCACTTTTGTAATTCTTTTATGAAAAGTGTTATATGTGTACAGATTAGCAATATTTAGAAAACACATACTGTGATAAATTTTTGCTGTCACACATGGTAACATGCCTTAATTACATTTAATGCCTTATAATACATGTGATACAGTTTTTAGAATTAAAATTAGGCGTTATTTCAGATGGTCCAATCAGATTTATAACATAGGCTGTATAAATTCGTCTCCACCTTCATTTCACTATCAAGCACAAGTTAATGGAGTCAAAACAAATTTTCATTGTCTGCCTCTGACATATGTTGCATAAAATGGTTCATAAGGTAAAAGCAGGAGTAGAGACCTTTTGCATTAGCAAGAACAAAATGTTTATTGAACCCTTCACTTGTTTTTCAAAGAGAAAATCTCCAACTTAAACTTTTTTTTCCTGAACTATAGCATAAAATTGGGGAACAGAGGCCAAAAGTGTATAAATTTGTTGAAAGGGCTTGATAGTGCCACTTTTTAAGATCTATGGATCTGCTAGATAAGCATTTTGCATACCGATTCCATCATTTAATTTTTAAAAGCATATGTTTTTTAAAATGTAATCAAAAATTAATTAGAAGCAAGATTTGGTGGAGTCTGGATTGCCTGTTTTATGTATAAGAAAGTATGTACCTTAACACCTATAATACCACCTCATTTTCTGGGCATTATTTCCTAATTTTAATGTTTCAACTTTTTGACCAGTCATTTGATATTTCAAACTCCAATCTTGATACAAAGTAGGGTGAATAAATGTAAATGAGATTTTATGTACCTTCAGTAGCTAAGTTTCATAAAAAAGATAGGACGAAGTCAAACATTAATGCTTTTGCATATATTTGAGGACCTTAAACAATTACCAAAAAGTGTTAACATGGAAGTTGGATCAAATTGATTTTGGGGGTAACTTATTTTAAAATTTTAAAAATTGTTGTGCCTTGGACATCTTGAAGTGATGAGTATGATCTTTCTAATTTATGCTCAGTGTTAACTTGGTCAGTTTACGTTGTATTTATTAAGCCTGCTGAAAAATCAAGTTTTAGGGAAGAAAATACAGACTTTTAGGATAGAATGGGTTAGATGTCTTTTGAAGAACTTTGTTTACATTAAATTGATGAAAAATACAGTCAGTGATTCCTTTTTGCTAGTGGTACTTTGATTTCCAGGGTAATTTATTTTTCAAGTAATGAGATGTACTATGTACTTGATGATTAAAAAACATTTGTCTTGCAAAATATCCTGTTCCTTGAAGGAAATATAACATCCTTTTGACACAATCAGGCAGTTTCCTTTTTCTGTATATTTGAATTACATATTTTTAATTGAATATAATTTGAATTATATATAATTCTGTCATCTACAGAATTATAGATTGTAATCATGTCGTTTTTTAAAGAAAAAAAATCCTAAGCATTTAATGCAGAATTTTAGCCTTTAAAAAGTACTAATATACATAAAAATTTATAGCAAATACAGATTACTTTGTCAAACTTAATAAGAAAAGTTATTGTTTGACACTTGTGTTGAAACCCTTACCTGAATTTCCACTGAGGCTTCACATTAGAAGATATGTATCTGTAAATGTAAAAGTAACTGAACTATACGTGAATCATTGCATTTGGTTCACTTTAAAAATTGGTATTGCAAGTGAAGAAAAAACTATTTTTAGGGCAGATTTTTTTTAAGTCCAGTACAAATGGTTAAGGTTGTTTTGAACTAATGGATGCCATTTAAGATATGATTATAGAGTCTGCTGGCCACGTTAAGAATTAGACTAATGTTAAATAACTTCTCTAGAAGACTTTTTGTTTTTTAAAGCTTTTTCTGGACTCTGCTATTCAATGGCCTGAAGAGTTCTTTAAACGAACCACTAAGTAATTAGTTCTTTGAAAAGGTATCTACTTCTAAAATTACCTACTTGGGAATATGAAGGATACAGTTAAGAGTTTTAGAAATGTGAAGCAAGGATACAAAGTTATAAGGTAAAGGAGTTTTTAGAAGTATTTACTTAAATGGTGCATTATGATGGGAGTCATTCTTATTTTGAATTACAACAATGTTGCTCAGGAAGTTAGTATTTTTCTTCCATGTATGTGCATATTGCACTATTAGATCATAGAAATATCTGAATGCATTATTTCTTTTTATATATGCAAATACTATCAATCTTGTATAATGTATTTTATACAAATGCGAAGTGGAATTGTAGAACATTATGTTAGCATGTACATCTGTAAGACTGGTTTTTAAAACTTGCTCCATATTTTTCATATTTTAAAAGATCTTCAAAATGTAATAAAGTTTCTATTTTATTATTCAATCTAAAATGGAAGCTGGTGAATTTAATTGAATAAAGCAAACCTTCTTTCAAACTGTTTGATATATACTGTGTGAGATAGATCAAATTGCCAAAGGTTTACCAATTCAAATTTCCCCTTTATACTGAAACAAAAAATCTACTGGATTATTTATAGGATATAAGTGAAATGAAATTGAAAAGAAAAATTTCAGGTGGAGGTTCTTTAGGGGATCCTGGATCTTAGGGAAGAAGACCATAAAGGCAAGGTCTCTGGCTTATTAGTGAAATGTGGAATCAGTCATATAAAATATGCTCTATGGTTAATTTGATTATGAAACCTTTCTACAAGAATGTTAATTTTTAAAAATTGCAGTAGTAAAACAATGAGAGTTCTTTGGAGCTATTATTTAATGGAAGAATTTATGGTGTAATCCTTTTTCCATTTTAAAAATCTTGATCTTAAAATTATATTTAATTACATTTTTAAAAAATAAGATGAACGTTTTTAATTCCATATTAAGGCAAACCCAGTGACACTGCACATTAAGGTAGTGGGGAAGGACAAGTTAACATCTTCTGAATATTCATTCGTTAGCATTCTCTCAGATCCAGTGTCAGTCCAATGATCACATTCATATTACACTGTCTGACAAATCTCTTAGTCCATTATCACAACATTAATCACCCAGAGTTTTCTTTGTTGTTGCTAGTGATGGTTTGTTCAATAATACTTGATAAGAATATTTGATATTGGCATGCCTGCTTAATATAGTTATTTTACCAGGTAGAATCTATTAACAAATTAGTTTTTTCTATCAAATATGTTTAGGTTCAAAATAAAACAGGACACAGTTTTGTAAGAATTTAATATGTAAATACAAAAAAGCATTATAGCAACAAAAATTTGGCTTGTTTTATAGCAATTTTAAAACTTCACCAACAAATACTTTTTTTATGTATGAGTTATCTGCATTAAAGTTTTCCATTCGAGTAACTTCACTGAGATTTTAAGCCACAAAAATAAGATTCATGCTGGCAAAGCAACATGCAGATACTACTGCCTGTTCTTACCGTTAGTCTACTATAAACCTGTAAAGATATTTTCCAAAGGGGAAAGACAAAGCATTTAAGAGAGATGGCTAGGGTTTCCAGGGCAAATACCTGCCCAAGGGGTTTCTGCAGGACAAAATCGTAGAGATAGATTGAGGGGAAAAAAATACCTGTATTTTGGTGTTTTTGCCCTATTCAAGTGTTTATCTGCAAATTTACAATAAAACAAGTAAACTACAGAGATAAAACATGTTATTTAGCTAAGGTACTATGGAGGTGAGAGAATAAAACACCTGTTAATAATCCTAAATAACTTTATTTGCCCATTACAAACAACTTTAAGTGAGGTTTCTATTCTAAGTACAGTAGATTGCTGCTTTAAAGTAGACATTCATGTTTTCCATTTAGTATCTTTAAAAATTTTACAAGTTCCTTTAAACAAGAAATAATTCACATACCATCAACATAGCACTGAACGTCTGATGGTCCTCACACCTATCTTGAATTATCTGAGAAAGTATTACAATTGAAACTGATCTTTTTCCTGAGAAAGCCACGTTACAAAATGGCACAAGAGAATATAAACGTTCCCCAATTTTCCCTACCCGAATACAAAATGGGAAAACCAGGTTACAATGTTTTGTGAGGAAAACATGTTTGTTTCTCAAAACTGTTTTCAAACATTTTATAAGCTACAGTTTTTTAGAGGGCAAGACCAAATTTAAGAGGTGATCATTTCTATATGTTAAGAGAATGATTACAGTAAATTTCAGTCAATGTTGAAGCAATTTATATAGGAAATTGTTTACAAGTGAAGAAACCAAGATACAAAAAACTTAAGCTCAAATTCAAGATTTAACAGTCAAAGGAGAAATAGAACCTAAGGTTCTGATTCTCAGAGGGTAAGGGTACTATCTTTCCAAAGGGAAAAATAAGTTTCTTTTGGCGGATAATATTAAACTTTTTTGAAATATGTACTATGAATTCCTGTCAAAATCTTTGGCATTTTAAGTCTTTAGAGGCTAAGGTTTTTAGGCATTCCTCAAATATAAAAAGGGAAGCTAGTTTTTAATTAAAATAAAAGTCAATTTCAAAATGACCTGAGTTGTATTCTGCACTGTCATATAAATTAACTGGATAGCAATGAGTCTTTTGAAATAACAACAGACCATTACACCTCACAGATTTCACACATGCATTCTGCAGTGAGATTTATATGCCTAGAACTTTACCTATTGTAAAGTACAAATTTAAATAAGTTGTCTTAGTCTAATATTTTATAAGCCCAACTATTCAAAGATACCAAACTTATTACAGTGGATGATGATTGATTCAAATATGGTAGGAAGTCAACCCCAAATTCAAGTATTTTTACTAATCATTTCAGGTAATGGCTGAGATATGAGCTATGAAATTTACATGGCTCCATTTGGCATTTGTCCCTGTGTGCAAGCTTTCGATCACAAATCTAACCTCATATGCACTTGTAAGAGCTCAAATAGGTTTATGTAGTCATAATGTAGTAGCACAAAACATGCCATGTAAAAGCAAAAAGCAAATTCAAGTTTTTCTTCTTAAAGTGCTCCATGTGCAATATTAAATCAACTCAACAGAAATCCACTAGGATGACTACTAATATTTTACAAAAGATCAGCAGTTAATAATTTGTTCAAGGACGAATACATAGATTAAAAGATGCAAAAACTCTTTAGGCACATTCTAATCCAAATAATACTAAAAAAAAATTGAATACTTAAGAGGGATAACAGGTGTTGAGAAGGAATGTCAGAATGTCAGACTAACTGGTAAGGTAACTGATATGTAAACTCAAAGTGGTAAATATTTGTCCAACAAAACGTGAACAAAAATACTCATTCCTTATCAGAAATAAGTCTGTCCAAATGTTCAGAAGCTGTATCATAAAAATATTTTTTGAGAAATTTCAGAGCTAATAGGTTGCTTCATCCATGTTGTCATCACTGTCTGCGCCAAAATCATCTCCATCTTCAAAGTATGAATTAATGTAGTCATTTTCCTAAATGAAATTATATATTCTTCAGTAAACATTAAAATGAATGAGCAGTTAACATTGTTAAGGACCAATATAGGCTGTCCTTTTAAGTTTGTAAATACTAAATATAGGTAATAAAATACCAGGCTTAAAAGAAGTCTCTGCTATGTCATCCACTTACAAAACACATTAGCTTTCACTCACATCTACCTGTGCTGCTTTCTTCCTACTATTCTCAGGCACCAAGTAGCTAAGAGAACACGAAGGGATGCCTACATACCTTAGTAGGATGATACATCTAACTCATCACACCTTAGTGGGATGATTTAGCTAAACCACGAAACACTTATTTTAAACAATGAACAGACACTCGTGAGACAAAGCCAATTTATATTAACATTAGACTACACCAGATCTGAGGGGTTTGATCACAGTACACAACGAGCATAAATAGAGGAATGTTTAATTCCTATAAAAAAAAATGTCTCAATACCAAATCAAACCTAGAGGATGTCATATTACATTGCATTCAGGGGCCCTTCAGGTTAAGAGAGATTAAGCCATCAGGAATATTCTAATTCTAAGGTTAAGTAAGGTTATTATCCATGTAAATGACTCAAGATATCTATGCTATCAAAAATTCAAATATTCATTTTAGATATTAAAAGAAATTTAAGAGTGTTATTAATCAACTGCAGTGTATGGGCTGTCTTTGGATTCTGACTAGAACAAATTTTTTGAGACAACTAAAAAAATTGGAACATTGACTTAATATTTGATAATATTAAGGAATTATATTTCATTGCGTTAACTGTAATAATGATATTGCAATGTTATTAAAGAGCACTTATTTTTGAGTGCCTACTCAAATATTTATGGATGAAATGACACAATACCTAGGGTTTGCTTTATAATAATCCAAGGCGGATGGGGTTGGAAATGGGAGGACAGAAGTGGATTGGGTGGATGGATGAGTGATTGAAAGATCAACTATGAATTAATTGATCATTGTTAAAGGTGGGTGATAAGTCCGTGAATGTTAATAGTCTCTAGATTTTTGTTCATGATTGAAATCAGACATAATACAAAATTAATCTTTATATCTCTACTGTCTACAGCAAGAAATATGATAGATAAGAAATAGAGACTATTTCCAAAAGAAAGTCTCTTGAATGTCAATTTATTTAATGCACGGTGGGATTATATACATAATTTATATAAATAATGCAAGAAAGGTAACTAATATTATTCAGATGAATATTTCATTACTTTGTCTTCCCTAAACACTATGTTTCTGTATAATGCAAGAAAGGTAACTAATATTATTCAGATGAATATTTCATTACTTTGTCTTCCCTAAACACTATGTTTCTGTATATGGCTAAGACCTTTACCATTTCCAGGAAGTTGGCCTGGCTCCACTGGTGCCAAGAAATCCAACAATTCTGGAAACCGGCTGAAGCCTGAGGCCGATGTATGGGGGAGGAATGGCATGGTTGATAGTTCAATTGAGGCTGCCTTGGAAATGACATCTTGACAAGGACACTTGTGTGGAAGTATAAGCTAGCCACTTTGTACATAAAAGTGGAAACGAGTAAGGAAGGGATGCTCTACTATTCCAAACTGAGGATATGCCACTTATCTTTTAGACATGCGTACCTCCAAGTATGTCCAGTGATTCACATTAGATAATTTTATGTTAGTAACCTTGATACAGGTAAAAGTGAGAACTTGCTGAAACTGATGACTTAAATGGTTCTTGGGTTTCATTTGAGCCCTTGCTTTTATCTTTAATTACAATATTCAGAAGATTGAAACACAAAGAAAAAAGTCTATATTTCCTCAGTTTTATGTAGATGTTACATAGATAATTTGCTCCATTTTATTCTTCAATACAAAATGCTTATCAAATCCTTAATACATTGGATAAATTAATTAGCATGAATCTTTCATTAATTTCTAAAAAGAACGACAAAAAAAATAACTTTAAATCTAGAAAGGCTTTAACCAAGATCCTGTTTCCATCCCTCACCCAGCCTCACACTCAGAACATATGTCATTTCTCTATTAAAGTGGAAAGTTGTTTGTTTCCTGATGTTTGCTGTTCTTGTAAGGAGAGATCTTAATTTCAACACAGCTCAAATCAAGCAGACTATAAACAGCATTCCAAAAGCCAGTCTTGTCTAGAAAACTGGCTCATACCCCCTTGAAGCTAATAGCACTCCACCATCCCCAAGACCAATTGTGACACCCAAAAATGGCTGCAGACATTACCAAATATCCTTTAGAGGACAAAATTACCACCAATTGAGAACCACTGGTTTATAGCAACAAGCTTTCAAACGTGATCCAACCTTAGATCCTTCTAATCCAAGCAATTGATCTTTGTAAAATACAGATATGATCATACTATTCTGCTGCTTGAAATCCTTCAGTGACTCCCCATATTTCTCAGCCCGGCATTCAAGACCCTTCATTCATCTCTTCAGCTTCATTTCTCCACATACTCCCAACTTATACTCTCTAGTCCAGCCATATTGACTTACCTGGCCAAATATACTATTAGGCCACACTCTCATCACTTGCAAGACTTCTCCATGTTTTTTCCTCTATCTGCAAGTCTCCACTCCATTTTTCATCTTGATCTTATTTGACTAACTCTTCAGATCTTATAAAATGTCTTCTTTGAGACATTTCCTTTGACATCCCTAAAATGGAGTTTGGTGCCCCTCTTACATGCTCCTATAGCATCTTGTACTATTACATCATAGAACTATTCACTGTATTATACCTGTCTCCATTCTCATCTGTCTCCCACTAGATCAAAGTCCTTGAGGGGAGCTATATCTAGATATTCTCCTTGCCTAGTATAATTCCAAGTATATACTCAGTGTACAATCACTAAAGGGTGAATGAAAAAGAATTTATTATTAGTCATAAGTATTATAGGGTAACTAAAACTTTGGATATGGATTCAATCAATCAGGGAGATTGCAGAGACAAAAAGAAGTCCAAGGGAAGAATTCTGAAGGATACTGACATTTAAAGATTAGAAGGAAGAACTCAAAAGAGACCATTAAAGGTACCAGTGGTGGGGGAAAAACAAGAAGTGTGTCAAAAAACAAGAGAAGCAACCATGTTTATCTATGTATTGGCACCCAGTACAATGCCTGTAATATAGCAGATGCCTATAATTACCTTAAATTGTTAATTTAAATAAAAGAAATATTTTGCGAGCAGTGTTAAATTGCAGAAAAGCCAAGTGAAACAAACACTAAAATTTACTAGTGAACTTGGCAATAATTTCAATAACATAGTTGGAAATCAGACTAAAAAGAGCTAAAGGAAAAAAAGAGCTAAAGGAGGGGAGGGGAGAAGTGAGCAACTGATGACAGCTAATGAGGTCTTCAAGAGATAGTACAAGAGTTGGAGAAGGAATGTAGGGAACATATTTTACAATGGGAGATGAACATGTTTTAATTCATGAATGGAAGAGATAAGTAGAAAAAGAGGCTGAAAATATGGAAAGGGAAATAATATGAGGATTATAGTCCCCAAAGAGGAAAGGACAAGTAGTCCCAAATAGGATGAAGGACATTTCTTCCACTGATAAAAAATGAGGAGGAGGAGGGAAGACATTTAGTCTGCAAGCAGAGGACATAAAATTAAGGGAGTTTTCTCTTCGGGGCTTTATTTTCTGGAAGAAGGTGCTATTATCTGCTAAAAATGAAAAAAGGTACTCAAGGAGAGGGTTCAAAAAGAAAGAAGATCTAAAATACTTTCTATGGAGAGCTGAGTTGACAAGAGAAACAGAAAATGTGTTAGCCAGCAAAATGGGGCTAGTGTTTTTTTAGTGGCATCAGTTTTTGTGATTCTTCAGAAAAAGTCAAAAGGCAAGTCTGGAGAAGAAAAGGAGACAATGGAATTGTTCAAAGGTTGATTTGGTCTAGAGTATACGCTGGGAAACTGAGAGACAAGAGCAATGGCAAGAAAGAAGTTGAAGGGTAAGCAAGGGTCCAGGCTCCTTCGGGAAAGAAATTAAGAGAGGAACTAATAGAGTGGAAATAAAGGATCAGAGGGTCTGTCAGTCTCAATCATATCAAAGTGCAGGAATAAAAAGAGTAAATGATTTGGAAAGAAAGTTGGAGACAAATGTGATGTTTAGTTTAAAAATGTTTAGAATTAAAATTTATTTGTAAGAATAAACAAAGAATAATTAGGAAAATCCTAAAAAGGAAGGGTAACGTGCTAAAAATATTAACAAATAATCAGAAGCTTCTGTTCATTGGAACAGCTTAGTGATGGTTCAGATACAGATCAATGGAACAAAGTCCAGAAATGCATCTAAGTAGATGCAGGAATCTAATAGTTGATAGAGGAGAATTTCAAATCTATGCAGAAAGCAAATTATTTAATAAATGAGGTTAGCAGCTGGCTAGCATCTTGGAAACAGATAAAAATTCCTTTATAGCAATATGAATTTCAAAAGAATCTAAATTTAATGCAAAATAATTAAAGCATATAACGAAGATTTCATAGTTGGAATGGTTTCTGGTAAAGAAAGATTCAGAGTGTGTTGTGAGAAGCTGAAATGGAGTGAAGACAAAGGGCACGGGAATGGAGAAGAAAATCTGTGTCAGGCTACTGCATGAGGTGTTTACAAAGTCCCAAAGAGGATGTGACCAACAGTTGCCCTACTCAAAAATATCTTGACTGACTCCAGCTTACTTTGAAATACACCATGTTTCTAAAAGCTGGAAATCTAAAACACTGAGTTTTGACCCACTCAGATGCCTGAGGTTGGATTATAAATGTTCTGTTAGTGTCACATGCCCTTTAGGCTTGGAAACGCGATGTGCTGCAGGAATTCCCCCTCAGACATACAGGACTAAGCCCTTTACTGCGACTTAAAATTTTATGTCCATAAACCTTAATTAATTTGATCAATTTCCTTAACTTATGGACTTCCACTAACAACGTTGCCTATCAGGTCAAATTTACTTCCTATAGTCAATTTGGCATCATTATAATTTCAGTGCTATAATAATTCTCTTGATACAAAAGAATTGACATCAGTAATAATAATATGCCCTGTTCCCATTAAATTGCTTTTTGTTTGTTTATTCATTTTAATCTATACCATATATCTGATTCCTTATTAGATAACTTTTAAGCTTGGTAACTTTGATACCCTTCCAAAATAGACCATTACCTCTTCTTGCTCTTCTTCATCATATTCCTCTTGTTCTGCAGCTTCATCTTCATCATCATCATCACCTTCTTTACTTTTCTCTTTGCTTCCTTCTTTCTCATCATTTTCCTCATCTGATTTCTCACCATCACCTTTCTTTTCCAATTCCTGGTATAAATAAGCTTCATTAACTTATATGGAAACCACTAGCCTTTGACCTCTCTGCTCAACCTATTACCTTATTCTAATCCTCCCTTACCAACACCTCCAGACCATCACATGGAAAATTGTGATGTTATCTCAAGAAAATTGTGAGTTAACTCAAGAAAGGAGGAAATCACTGTCCTACTATGACACCAGTATTTTCTTTGATTTTGTTACTTCATAATTTGGTCTCAGGTAATTCTAGAATATCAGCTCAAAAGCACAGTACATTAATTTTATGATTTCTATCCTATCTCCCTCTAAATTATTGAACTGACTCAGTTTATGGTGAAGAACTTTTAGAATGTTATTTTGTTTTCCTTCTAACATAAAGGAGAAAAGAGGATGCAATGGTACTACTTCAAAATGTCTATGTTTTAGTTTATAAGTGGAATTACTTTAAAAAATATCAATTCATATTGGGCTGGATTATCCTATTTGCAGATCATCCATGTCCTTATTTCTCCCTCTTTATTTACTTCCCATTTCCAGGAATTTTGCTTGTTAATATATCTGGCAGGTTGAGAAAAAAAATAAGATTAAAACTCAAATTACAGTCAACATTAGCACTTATTAACAACTCTATGAGAGGAAGCAAAGGAGGTGCAGAATTAGAAAAGCTTTGACTGCCTAATTCTACTGATCCACCCTGTTAAAATCACTATGCTATGGTACACAAATTTAACTTTAATACACCTTTATATTCCTATTACAACTACCAATAATCTTTTCCATTTGATAAAAAGTGATCTGTTTTCATTTGTCACCATTCATTTACTAAATTGTTCTATGCTTAATTTGTACAAGTGATAGAATTTCACAAGTTTTCTAAGAGGTGGGTACAGAAATAATTTCATACATTAATATTCGTAATTAAGGCATGTGATCTTGTTAGCTAAGATGTGACTATCTTTAAATAGTAATCAAAACACTAATTCATAAATTTGCATATACTCCATCCTATTATATTTGCTTAAAACACGCTTTATATTTGGAGTGACTAGAATTTAGCTCTTTTTCTATGCTTAATTTGTACAAGTGATAGAATTTCACAAGTTTTCTAGGAGGTGGGTACAGAAATAATTTCATATATTAATATTCGTAATTAAGGCATGTGATCTTGTTAGCTAAGATGTGACTATCTTTAAATAGTAATCAAAACATTAATTCATAAATTTGCATATACTCCATTCTATTATATTTGCTTAAAACATGCTTTATATTTGGAGTGACTAGAATTTAGCTCTTCCTTTACTGGTTCTTAAATATGTATTTTTAAAAATTCCTTTAATTACAAATTTGAATTTAAGGAAATCAAGAGCAATAGAAAGACTACATCAGATAAACTCAGTTTTTAATGAAAATTAAAACTCCACCTTTCTTGTCACCTCATCCTACTCAGGCAGAACAAATAAAAACAAGATAATTATGTTCATACTGACCCTGAGTTACCTTTTTTGTTTTCTATTTTAATCAAACCATGTTTGGGCAGTTAAAAGGGAATTATAGTTCTATATTTACTTAATTCTGTGCAAGGTATACACTGTATCTAAAAATTCATGCCATTAGCTATTATTTCTCAATTAACAATAGAGTTATTTAAACAAGTTATGTAAACATATTTTTTAAATATAAAATCCATTCCATGGTACATAGGGACTAGGAGTCTTCATTTCCATTACTGCCACCTCAAATAAATAACCTCAACTTTATTTCTACCACATATACCTAAAACTCATAAAGTACTAAATAGGTTAACAAATAGCAGATTTATACGATTTAAAAAAAATGATCTCAGAGCCACACACATTGTCTCATTACTTCATTCCCTTTGTGTTAAGCTACTCGTTCTGGTTCATCTCTTTAGTAGTCCCCATTTTCTCTTCTGTGAGATTTAATTATTTACTCCTACTACTTTACATTTATATTTAATTTAAAAATAATGTAAATAATATAATGAGAAAACACTTTAAAACAGTTAATTTATGGACAGGAAACAGTTCTTTTAGTTTAAATTCTTTTTGGCCAACCCATTACAGAGAGAGTCTTCTGTATGTCATGCAGAAATAGGAAGCTCAAATATTAGTATACTGCTGTCTGGTTATTCACACATTAATCATGAAGTTTGACTGTATGTCGCTCCCTCTCCATCCACATTAGTTTTATTACAATAAAACTTACAAGTGCTTTTGCTGAAGAAATGAACAGTAACAGTCATCTGGAAGCTAATTTTGCTCTATTAAAACTGCTAACTCATTGATTTCTAAATTTAATACTCCAGTTTTAAGAATATTTATACTGAAAAATGTGTTTAAATGTAGGAAATAAGGAAACACAATTTGTCCTGATGAGAAACTACAATTACAGGTCCAGATCAATCTTCCTTATAGCACATGTTATCTTAGCAACTTCATTCCAGGAAGCTTTAAGAAGAGTCAGAATCTGTGTTTAATCAATACAAATTGGCTAGGTCTGCAAGCCTATCCATCATTCCACCACAGTTAACCTTGACAGTTAACACTATATTTCAACCATCTAATTGGCTTTATTTTCAGCTCAAGTATTGGTAAAAGAATAAAATAGCAAAAATATGAGTTTCTCTTACCAGGTAACTGTCAACTTTGCCAAGCAATTAAGAGTTTTAAAGCCTTAACTTCTCATCTGTGAGTAAAGAATAATTTATACCCATCTCTTTGTTGTAATAAAGTCTTAAGGACAGAATGAATATAAATAGTTCATCAAAGAACCTGGTAAATAGTAAGTCCTCAATAAGTGTTAGCTGCTATCAATATCATCATCATCAATACATTGACAGTGGGAATAAATTGGTATACCCTCCACAGAGAGTGATATGTTAATATTTATATGTAAGACAATACATGTAACAACTGTCCCCATAAATCCACTTATAGAAATCTAACTTACACATATGAAAATTACATACTTAACATGAAGTCACTGTAGCATTGCTTATAATAGTGAAACACTAGACAAGATATAATGTCCATCAGTAGGAGATTGATTAAATAAATTATAGTTCATTGTTATGGTGCAGCCAAAAACAAAAAAAAACGAAAAAAAACAAAGTAAATTTAACAGACATGGAACCATCTCCAAGATACTTTTAATAAAATGAAAATGCGAAAGAGTATATATGACCTTTCATCATTTAAAAAAAAAGAAAAACTGTATCTGCTATACATAAAATATTTCTGGAAGGATATATAAAAAACTGGTAATTCTGGTTGTCTACAGGATGGGAATTGGGATAGTAGGGACCAGGATTGGATGGCAAATTTTCAATTAATTAACCTTTCAAATTTTATATCTTTCTGTTTTTGAAACATTAAAAATAAGAAGATACAAAAATGTTTCCTAAGATATAGTTTGCCCTCAACAGAATCTTCTATACTTAAGATGAGACAGAAAAAAACATATTAAAAAAAGTACATATACAATAAGAGAAAAACTGAGAGGTTTTTAAAAGAAATACATTTTAAGTATATAACTCTTTTATGTTTCTTTCCCATGCATAATTCAAATGCAAGGGGAAACAGAGACAGTGGTAAAAGAAGCAGGTGATAAAAGGTGAGGTAAGTTAACAGGTGAGGGGTAGAAAAAGGGCAGGGGTAGAAAAAGAGCCCCCATATCTCCCAGCCAACAATGTTCAAACCTTTCCAGCTACCTGTGTGCTGGGCTTGGTTCTGCCAAATCCATGTTATTAAAAAGTGAAAGAAGGTGGAAAGGTTGAAGAAGGCAAAAGGAGGTATGACATATTTTCAGTTCATTCTTACAGTAAGAAGAAAAAAAACTTACCTCGATTTTTTTCAATACATCTTCAGTATTACTGAGTGAAGTATCTTTGCCAGTATCTTTTGTCTTTTTGGAGCTTGGGCCTGCTGAAGTAAAACCACTGATAACACATTTTTCTGTAACAGCAACTGTGTGTTGTATTTCTTTGCCTTTTAATATGCTCTCTAGAATAGTGATATGTCATACCAGGCAGTCACATCATTTGCAGACTGAATTAATTTTCTTAAAGAATGAACAAAATAAATCAGCACACCTCAACAATTTTCTATGAGAAGTAAATGATAATAACTTAATAAGATATTTTCTGAGAATGCAAACAAATATCTTTATACAAGTACTGAAAATCTGTACTGGCAATTAATTTCATTCAGGCCAAAATCGTTACCTCCAGTAGAATCACTATAGGACCAGTGAAAAGCTCTCACAAATGACTATCTGAACTGGCTTCTTGTTTACTAGTTAGTGTACTTCATTTTAACTAGGGCCATTTTACTGAGTTTGGAAAATAAAAAAACAAGTGCAATATAAACATGTATTCGCCAATAGTTAAAGAGATAAGAAGTTATATTCAGTGCAACATAGCACTATATTTGGAATGAAGATTAAAATAGTTAAAATGACCATACCCAATATGTAAATCTGAAAACGCAAAGCAATATAAATAAAATGTTTTACAGACCTTGGGATAGCTTTTTAAGCCATATAAAAAATGTAGCATTTTGAGGTTATTTTGAAACTGAAGAGACTAGAAAATTATTTCACATGTAGATCATACCCTATCAATCAGTTACCAAAGCATTATGATATGCTACAAAACTGTCTCATTATGATTTGAAAAAGTATTACAGTCTGACCCCAAATCAAAACTAAATACATAGAAATTACTTAGTAACGAAAGGAAATATGGCTCAGAAAGATGTAATTGTGTTAAAGATTAACATTTAATCTGCAGAAAAATTTTTACATTGTAGTAGTTGACCCATAACTAATGAATTATAATTTATAGTGTTATTCCAAATTGCCACATGGGCAGTCACCAAGCTCAGAACTCCCAAACACATATAGTAGTGAAGTTTTGCTCAAACAAAAGTAATGGTTAGATTTAATGATGGGTAACTTTCTCTGTTCCCCTTGAGGACAAAGACTGTTTAATTTGAAATGTAGTACATAAAACATAGTATCATAAATGAATACAATCTGAAAATATAATATTGATGCCAGATAACATTAACTAAGAATGTAATTTACTCATACCATTATCTTTTCTGAGTATCTTTTATCAAATTATTCTTCTCTAAGTACCTTTTATCAAATTATTTCATTTTTATAACACATAGGTCTATTAAATGGATATTTTAGAACGTGGTCAGGTAAATAAACTCATCAAAAATTACTAATCTCTTAAATAGGAAAGTAAGTTGCATATTCAAGTCCACTCAGCATCTTTTGCTATTTATCATTCTGGTTTTATACAATGCCTAATCCTTATATGTGTAACTAGAGAAGAAGTATCAAATTACCAAAATTTGTTAAAAGACTGTTTTAAAACATTAACATGAATTATTTTTCCATCTTTGGTCAAATATGTGCATATGTTACAATTTTTGTTTCTTTCAACACCTGCCAGTAGGTGTTTCTTCAAGAAAAACTTTCAGCCTTTGGCCCTTTTGGTACTATTCATTTTCATATAAATCGATGGAGCCAATTTTAATAAAAAGGATAATAAAAGCTTATCAGGAATAAAACACAAAAATTATATAATATGCAATAAAAATATCAGCTCAGAATGGAAAAAGAAAAGTTTTATTGTTTTAGTTTTTAACAAATCGACATCCTGGCACACTGGAAGCTTTTACTAATGATTACTATATTCATGAAGTTCCAGGGATGAGCAGTCAGTGGGATGTATTTGAAAACATCAATTCTTCCAAATCAAATTCGTTTTTTTCAGCTCTTTAAAGTCAGCTACAAATTGAGATGCACTAGGACATGCACTAAGCCAAGGGTCTAAAAGATAACTGATAAATTATCATATCTCAACATATCCTGCACTCAGTCAAGCTACGTATTCTTGTATACTGGTGCTTTGAAATAAAATATACTTCCATTTTTATATACATGTCAAAACTTACCAAATTGTGTATTTCAAATATGTGCATTTTATTGTTTGTCAACTATATCTCAATAAAGCTGTTAAAAAGAAAAGGGAGATCTCTTTCAGAGGACAGAAGCAGAAAGAATACCTCCTAACTCATTCTATGAAGCCAGCATTACCCTAATACCAAAACCAAAGAAATATTAAAAGAAAGAAAACTAAAGACTGATATATCTCATGAATAGAGATATAAAAATCCTCAACAAAATATTTTCAAATCTTATTCAACATACAGAAAAAATTATATACCACGACCAAATGGGATTGATCCCAGACATGTAAGGCTGGTTCAACATTCCAAAATCAAATAATGTAATCCATCACATTAATAGGTTAAAAAAGAAAACTCACATGATCATATCAATAGATGCAGAAAAAGCATTTGACAAAATCAAACTCTAAGTAACAAGGACAGAGTGAACTTCCTCAACTTGATAAAGAATATCTACAAAAAAACCTACAGCTGCATCATACTAAATGGTGAAAAACCCAGTATCACACTTAATGGTGAAATATCTGACACTTTCCCACTAAGACCAGGAACAAGGCAAGAGAGTTCCCTCTCATCACTACTCTTCAACATTGTACTGCAAGTACTAACTAATGCAAGCAAATAAGAAAGGGATATAAAAGGTATACAGACTAAGAAGGAAGAAATAAAACTGTTGTTGTTCACAGATGACATGATCATCTCTGTAGAAAATTCTTAAAGAATCAGCCAAAAAACTCCTGGAACTAAGCAATTACAGCAAGGTTATAGGATACAAGGTTAACACACAAAAGTCAATCGCTTTCCTACATACCAACAATGAACAATTGGAATTTGAAATTAAAAACACTAATACCATTGACATTGGCTCTTCCATAAATGAAATACGTAAACAAAAATCTAACAAAATGTGTATATATCTATATGAGGAAAACAACAAAATTCTGATGAATGATATCAAAGAACTAAATCAATGAAGAGATATTCCAGGGGCATAGATAGATTCAGTATTGTCTGGATGTCAGTTCTTCCTAACTTGATCTAAAGATAAAATGCAGTAGTCTCAATCAAAATCTTAGTAAGTTATTTTATAGATATTGACAAACTGATTCTAATGTTTATATGGAGAGGCAAAAAGACCTAAAATAATCAACACAATATCAAAGGAAAAAATAATGTTGGAAGACTGGCATCACCTGACTTTAAAATATGCTATAAAGATATAGTGATTAAGACAGTATGGTACAGGTGAAAGAATAAACACATACATCAATACTCTTACCATGCAAGCCAGCAATCATTCTCCTTGATATTTACTCAAAGGAGTTGAAAACTTATGTCCACACAAAATTGGATGTTTATAGTAGCTTTATTCATAATTTCCAAAACTCGGAAGCAACCAAGATGTCCTTCAGTAGATAAATAAACTGTAGTACATCTAGACAATGGAATATTATTCAACACTAAAAAGAAATTATCAAGCCGTGAAAAGTCATGGAGGAAACCGAAATGCATATTACTAAGTGAAAAAAGTCAATCTGAAAGGCTACATACTGTATAATTCCAATTATTCTGAAAAAGGCAAAACTATGGAGTCAGCAAAAAGATCAGTGGTTTCCAGGGGTGGAGAGACGGGTAGGATAAATAGACAGAACACAGGATTTTTAGGACAGTGAAACTATTCTGTATGATACTATAATGGTGGATACATATCATTATACATTCATCCAAAGCCATAGAATGTACAACACTAAGACAGAACCTTATGGTAAACTATGGACTTCGAATGATTATGATGTATCAATGTAGGTTCACCGATTGTAACAAATGTACCAATTTGGAGATGCTGATAATGGGGGAGGCTATGCATGTGTGTAGGACAGGGAATACATGAGAAATCTGTACATTGCTCAATTTTGCTGTGAATCTAAAACTGCTCTAAAAAATAAAGTCTATTAAAAAAAAAACAGGGCCTGAAAAAATAAGAGGGGGTATGGGGGAACTGTCTTCTCTTAGTTATTAATCCCATTGTTCTTAACCTCTCTGGCCACTTCCCTTTTTCTCTCTTTATTCTTAGTAGCAAAATTCTCCAAAGACTCATCTATGCTAGCTGTCTCTATTTCCTAAACTCCCACTTGCTGTTTAACCCATTCCAATCTGGATACTACCTCAGCGAATCTTTTAAAAAAGTTCTCACTGAGGTCAGCAATGATCAACGCGGCAGAAATAAATTTACATTTTCCAATCTTTATCTTATGGACCTCTCAGCAGCACTATTTAAGCTCCTTTAACATTCTTGACCACCTTCTGAAATATTCTTCACGTCTGTATACTTTTGCTTCTGTAACTCTACCCTCTTGTTTCTCCCTCTCCTCTGTCTCTCTCTGCATCACCTTCCTTTGATGATTCAATTTCTTCTATCAACCATTAAGTTTTGGTATTCCTCCAAGCTCAGGCTTAGGCTCTCATTTCTTCAAATTCTTTAACTTGACTCTATATCCATCTCATCCTTTCTCATAGTCTCCATCATATCTATTCTGAGGACTACCATCTTCATTTTGAGGTCCATCCCCATGTATCCAGCAACATATTAAAAAATGCTACCTGTATATTTTTTAAAAACCTTAAATATCACTCATGAATTAAACTTACGATTTTCCCTCACCAACCTGGTTTTTCTCCAGTATCCCTCCTCCAACTTCATGTTAGTAAACTACCCATCCTTCCATCTGGAGTCTAATTCCATCTCCTTGAAGAACTCTGTCCTAATCTCCCAATGAGGACAGCGTATTTCTGTTTAATGTTTTCACTCCGTTTGATTATAAGCCCTACAGGGGCAAAGACTGTCCCCACTGTGCTCACTCATTCCTTTTAGCACAGTGTCTGGCAATATTTACTCAGGAGAATTATGAAAGCATAACACAATGGAAATTTTCACTTTGGTATGTAATGTACAACATAAAGTTCTATTCTACCAGTGTCCAAATTTTACCAGTTCTAAATGTTTTAGTTAAAAACATAAAATATTGCCATATAACCATTAAAACATTTCAAATATGCAAATAAAATTATCTACATAATTGAAAAGTCTTTCTTACCACATCAAAATTCCATAATTAAAGAAAAAGCTTTAACAAAATAATCAAAATGCCAAACATATTTTAAGAGAAAGCATTCAGAACATCTGAGTATAACTTCAGTTGACGATTCCATATTAGAATTTAAGCAATAACCTTTTCCTACCTGGATTATTCTATTAGTCAATGTACCTTTTTTGCATTTTTTCCTTGGCATCATCTCTCTTGGGAGTCTTCTCCAATCTGTGTGTACAAAAGAAGAAATATAAAAATTGCAGTTTCCTCTAGAAATTAGTGGCACTGAATATAACTATTTAAAGAACTTAGCAGTTGTTCAAGCAATGAAAATAAAATTTCTTAATGTCTAACTATACAGATTTAGCCTGGGAATGAAAATATAACAATAATACTTTCTCCTATGAAGAAAAAGTATTCATTAAAATAGCTTTGAAATAGTGTTATAAAATTTCTACAACATTCTTTAACAGTTATACAGTATTTATATAATCAATTTTAAAGATAAATTTCATAACAAGAAAAATGTAGAAAAATATTTTTCTACATAAAAAGTTTGGGGTATGAATATTTATGATATAATATTGAATTTAAAAAGGTTTTAAAATAATATGTATAGAATCCCAGTAAATAAACTTAACATATAAATATTTATATCTATATAATATTTGTGCAGGAAAAGCTCTAGGTTGGGAACAAAATATTACAGTAGTTTTTCGTGGGTGTTAGAATAAGAGATGTTTTTCTTAAGCATTGTCTATTTATTATTTGACTACCCTATATTTTGTAACTTTTTTGTAGTTGATATGTATTTCTTATGTAATAAAAGATTTTTCAAAAGTTAAAATATGTGACCAGAATCCCAACATATGCAAAATTAAATATTTCTATTACCTAAAAACTTTAACATTAAAAACAATTAGCTGTGTAAAAGTAAATTCCCTCCAACAAATAATTTTGCCCATATTAGCTTAAACAAGTCCTCTAATTTGTCACCTTCTTTTAATTTTTAAGCAGAGTTAATCAGAAAAATGAAGCAATATAAAAATAGATTAAAAACACTGCCTGCTAATAAAAAACCTCAGTGTATTTTGTAGAAAACATTTATATCTCAAGCTATTTTATCTGAATAAATTTTGCTTTGAAATATATTTCTGCTTTTCCGAACAACTCATAATCATGAGAAAGTATATAAAAATAATCATTTAGGAGATGAATATTTATGTAGGGGAAAAATGAAAGATCTAAGAGAGCGTTTCCAGGGGGACTCAACCTTATCAACAATCAACACTGAAAACAGCACTGTAACCCGTGAAAGCAACAATGCTGTAAATGCCACTTATGTTTTTATATAAAGGCAGTTTCTATAAAACGCCAAGGACAGAGATGTCAAAGGAAAGTGACTGAAAAATGAGTAGACCTAGATCCTAGTATTACTACTACCCAAGTTATCCTGACAGGTCACTTCATTTCAATGGCAACTGTTTTTTATCTGCAAAATAAATGCGCTGGATGAGATCTCTACCTCTTCTACCTAGTCCATATCCAAGGCAAACATGTGAATGTTGAAAAAACTCTCTTAGGTATGGTTTTGTTGAAAAGGCATCTGAACAACTAAAATTAGTCTATGTTTGCTTGAAAGAAAGGATGATCCATGAATTTGGCTTAAAACTCTTTAAAATTAGATTTATTTTTTCTTCAAAAGCTATAAAATCACTCAGGAGCAGGGAAATGAGGACTATTGATTCTACAGATTGAAATTGTGATTGTGGCAAGTTAAAATGGAAAACTCATATGGGTTTGCCAAGTCCTAGTTTATAAAAAACAGCATTTAAAAATTTCCACAAAAACACATCAGATTTTCCATGTTACAGTATAAGAATCTGTTCATCTTAGTTTTCAAAAGATATCTAATACTAATTACAGGAAAAGAGCCAGTCTCTATTTTGCTATGGAGAAACAGAAAATTTGTACTAAAAAAAAAATATGGGATAGGAAGATAGCTTTTAAAAATTATTTTCACATTTTCAGTTTTATAATTACCTGGTATCCACTCTTCTTTGTACACCTTCATATATCTTTTATTATATCTTTCAATATCTAGCAAAAAAGGAAAACGTATTCATTAAACAAATTAAGAATAAACCTGAATTTAAATCATTCCTTTAAAATGATTGAAAACACCAGATAATATCTTTTACTTCACATTCAGGGAGTTTCCTACAATTATACATAATGTTTTCCTGAATACATACTGAAAAGTTCAATTGTATATTTAAGAGTGGCAAAAAGCAGCTGGGTATGAATGGCTGGGGGTTGAGAAGAGACATAAACCCTAATTATGGTTCTTAGAATCAGATGACCTGACTAAACTCTGAGAATATTCACAAAAGCCCAAAGCCACATCAAGAAGCCGCTTACATATATGGATAAGGGCAAGGAGGTCTACTCAGCATCTATGGTTTTCTTCTTGTGACACTGGCCTCCAGCTCCCAATCTTCAAACTTTGTGTAACTGTGACGTATTAAATACCTAAGTGGGAAGGGAGGGCTGTTTGCTTACCTCCAGCACTTATTATACACATTCAGTTAGGCTTCTCAATGAGCTATATTTCATAACCCACTGGGGAGGATGGGAGAAAGGATACGAGTAGGAGAGGTTAGACTCGGATGATGCCATGAACGATCAAGTCACAAGCCATCCATGCAACCTACTGAGAATTCTGCAGGGACCTTCTGAGCTTGCCCCAAATTAAAGAGCCACAATTATAGCTCTTGCTTCTGCTTTGCCCATTTTGCCACAGGGAACTCCCTTAATGAGGGCCCAAACCCTTTCCCAGCAGCACAAGCTGGCAATCACCACCATCATGCAATAGCTTAAAACAATGGATCATCATAAAAAGTGGTTTAGGGAAAGTAATACAAAAGATTAAAATATAAAAATCAAGACTAAAATAGGTACTGATTTTTTTTCCACATTAAGAAAATGCTTCCAAATAATACTAAGACCATGGTGTTAGACAAAGATAACTGAAGCAAAATCACAGACCAAGAGAACAGGCTTTTCTGGGTATTTAACTGTTTGATTTCATGCTTGCTCTCAAGTTTTTCATCTGTAAAGTCGGTATAAATGAGAGATTCTCAGCATTTGCATTTAAAAATTTTCTCCAAAACAGATTCTATATTTTGAAGAAATTCAACGTAAGTATAACAAAAAGCAGTTATTATCATTTATTACCTGGATCCAATGAACCAATTTTTATATGTTTAAGTTACTTTCAAATAATTTACAGAAGAATAAGAAATACCGAAAATCAACTACTGGAATTCAATTAAAAAGAGGCAAATGATTTGAATAGACATTTCTCAAAAAAAAAGAAAGATATACATGGACAAAAAGTACATGATAAGATGTTAAACATCATTAGTCATTAGGGAAATCAACATCACAATGAGATACCACTTTATACCTAGCAGGATGGCTAGAACCAAAAAGACAGTAACAAGTGTTGGCAAGGATGTGGAGAAACTGGAATGTTCATACGTTGTTGGTAATATAAATGGTGCAACCACTCTGAAAAACAGTTTGGAGGTTCCTCAAAATGTCACAGAGTTATCATATGACCCTAGATATATACTCAATAGACATGAAGTATGTCCACACAAAAACATGTACATGAACATTCACAGCAGAATAACTCACAATAGTCCCGAAGTGGAACTGACCACAATATTCATCAACTGATGAATGGGTAAACCAAACATAGTATATACAGACAATGATATATTATTCAGTCATAAAAAAGAAATGAAGCATTGATACATGCTATACCATGACAAACTCTAAAAACATTATGTTAATTTAAAGAAGCCAGTCACAAAAGGGCACATATTATGATTCCATTTATATGAAATATCCAGAACAGACAAATCACAAGAGACAAAACAGATTAGTAGGTGCCATGGGCTGGGAGAATGGGGGTCGTACTAATCGGTATCGGGTTTCTTAAAATCAGTAGTATTGGTTCCACAATTCTGTGAATACATGAAAAGGTACTGAAGTCTATACTTTAAAAAGTGAATTATACATATGTGAATTTTATCTCAGCAAAGCTGTAATTTAAGAAGAAAGAAAATTATTGAAAATTTTAATAAGAAATTAAATATAGTAAACCCAAATTTATATTCCATCATTTTCCTGGATTTGAAGGTATATTTACCCCAAATGGGCAACATCTTTCGAATGCAGCTAACTAGGTTTTGTCATACACAAACCCTGAATATATGCAATTCGTATACCATGATTCCAGATTTCAAATATATCTTTAGTAAGTCCTAATTTATTACTTCTGGTTCTTCTTCTTACACCTGCAGCATCCAAATATAATACTTTTAAAAACTTTGATGGCTCACACGTTTGTGGAAGAAAGAATGGCCCAGCCATCTTCTTAGGTCTAAAATTGCAAAAACATTTTCATTATTAAATTTATAATTACTGATTAACATGATTAATCCACTAAAATGTTTCATTTCTACATAATCTATTTCGTTTCAATCATTTTTGTCTTTACCATCAGCATTTGTCCAATTATAAATGACATCAAATAAATTTTGGTACATTAGTATCATAAAAAGAAAAAATATAGTCACATGTGATTTTAGCAAACAGTATGTTCCAGATTATTATCACAAAATATTATGTAATGATGTGCTTTTCAAAGATTAACTATGTGAGAATACCATATTTCCCTTTTATCCTTAGAGATATATCATTTACTCACTGATTCTTGAGTTTGAGAAAATTCATACACAATATTGTCATCTGAAGACCTGGTGTGAGATTTTGCTTACACAATCAATTTCACCATCGCCATTAGCATACAGAGACCTGCTGTCTCTTAGTGTTCATCTCTCGATTTGTCTAGTAATTGTGAAACATCATCCTCTGTCAATTTTCTTCTTTTTGCCATTATAAAGAGAATATTAAAAAATCTAAATTCTCAATTGTATTCTATAAAAGCTAATTCAAAAACAAAACAACTACAAAGACAAGAATCTCTAGACCGCATTTGTATCTTCTTAAGAATTAATGTAATACTTTGGGCAACACAATAGGAAAACTAAAGGATACCATAGGGATGATTTACTTCAATACTGCATCATCCTTCTATACAATTTTATTGTTCTTCCTTTTTTTTATATTTTTAGTCTTTTTTTCCAGTATAGTGGAAAATAATGAATGAATAATAATGAAATAAAATCTACGATAATAAAACAGCAAGATGTTTCAAGAAGAAGGAAAAATAAGATTACTAAGATTCTCAAATGCATTTTAGATTTATAAAAGGGTTAAATGGGCTGATACAGAAATGCTAAGATAAAATAAGTTTTCTTTTTTCAAAAAATTCTGTTTGTTCTTTGGAAGATCTCCATGAAAACATAAAAGTTATGAATATCAATCATTACATATAGTAAGAACTATTCAAAAAGAAACCCAAAAATTAAAATAGGGTCACATGGACCCTGACGGTATATAGAGAGTTAATAAACCAAACAAACTCCATTTATTCAATAATAGAGCCTCTGGCTATATTGCAGGTAAATGTATAATTTCCATTAAGCTTTAGGTTCTGAAAATGGCTTACAGAGATATTGCCACTGTTACTCCTGTTTCTACCTCAGAGGACCACAGTGGTTTAAGAACCTGAGCTGAGAACCATTGAACCAGATGTTCTCTATGTACCCTTGAAGCTAAAATTTGTTTTTCCTTCATTATAAAAATAATAAATTTCATTGCAAAGAAAATACCAAACACTTCTATAATTCTAACCAAAAACATTGTAAACAAACTTTGAAGACAACATAAAATATGTTTACTCTGTGCCCTCCATTCTTTGTCAGTGCTCTGAGCCACCAGCCACTTGATTATTAGAAAGTCTCGAGATCTCATACCCTACTTGCTTGTCCTAGTCTCCAGTGATTTAGTTTTTACATTAGTTCATAAGTCTCTCTTTCCTACAGTACATTGGTGGTGAGTGATGGGAGAAGCCTGGTAAAGGTGTAGTGATGTAACAGAATATGTCTCCCTCTGATAGTTGCTTACTTCTGTTCCTTCTAACCAATTTTTCATTCATGGTGCATATATTACATAAACACTATATGTACATATGTATGCATATATATATATATATATATAATATTAACCTACATACCCACATATGTGTATATTATGTTTTTTAAAAACTATTTTCAACCGTAGTTTTTTAAAAAACACATTATATGAGGAAAGAGAAGTAAACATGAAGATCTCAAGGAGAATGTACTTGTACTAATTTGGAAAATTCTAGATGAGTTCTCTCCCGAATGAAACAGAAGTAAAAGATTCCTTATATTTTTAATTACTGTATCATGCAGTTATCAAAGACAAAGGGCCTTTTGATCCAGGTCCAAGCCAACCACACCCAGAAACCAACAATGAAATTATATTCTTAATGTCTCTGTCTAAAAGACTCACATCAATGCTTCAATATTATACACTTTAAAATTAGACGTGTGCTTTAATAACAGCCACATTTAGTTAAGCAAATCTGTCCCATAGTCTAGAGAAAAGACTAATTTAAAAGTTTCTGAAGTAAACCCTATACAATTATTTTTTCCAATAAGAATGAATACTTATTAGTTCATTTAGTATTACTTTTCAAATCTTTAAAAGGAGAGCTTTAATTTCAGTTTGAACTCAAATAGATAAAAGCATGCAACATAATCATGAAAGTAAAAAAATTCAGTATTTTTGAGGTAAATCTCTTATCAAACCATTATACAACTTCAAGCAGTTATGTTTTAAAAAAATTAAATAAACTTATCTAAAAAGCTTCTTATAATTACAAGCACATGTAATATTATTATATAAGACTTCCTTTTTGACTCTTAGCCAATTCTGTCTTTTAGGGAGAGGAAAAATGGAATGCATTTTCAATACTAATGGAATGAGATGATACTAAATGAATTTCTCATGTTTTAGTGATGTTGTTTTGAGAATTCAAGAATGATATCGATTTCTCTAATTTCAACATTCAAGGGCAGAAACTGAAAATCAATATAGTTCTGTTGTGCTAAATAACTACTCAGGAATGGATGATCTTCCTCTACAACCACTTCCCATTTCTAGAGTGAGACTGTCAAGCCTTCTCCAAGTGAATTTCTCCTCTCTTTCTCTGGCATAACATGAATACGTGTTTTATATTCTATTATATCTGATATATAAATCAGCCAAAATATAGTCAAAGCATTTAAAATTTTTAACCAAAATATGAAATCATCAGAGACCTGCATAAAGATTTATGTATAAGGATAGTAATCATGGCATTATATACACATATGAGGAAAAAAATTAGAAACAACCTTAAATTTAACAGCAGGGAACTAATTACAATCAATGTTGTAGCCTCACAATGGAATACCACATAGTCATTTTTAAAAATCCAATTTTTTAAAAACAACACATATAGAAGGAAAAAATCTGGATATAAGGTAAAATATTAATAGTATTTTAATCTAGACATAAACATTGTAGGTGATTTTTATTTTTAGTATTTTTTGTTTTTCATAATTTTCACTGAACATATAACACCCCTATTCTTATTTCTTAAAATTACCGAAATTTTAAATATATCAATTTTAAAAACTTTTTAAAATATCAAAAAGTTTAATATATATTTTCTGTTAAATCAATATAAATACTTTTTCTGACTCGAGTCAATCAGCATTAAAAGACTATATATCTTGTGCCAAAAACTTGTTTCATCTGTATACATTGAACCACAAAATCAGAGTCCAAATACGCACCTTGTTTTTCTTCTGGTGTTTCTATAAAATAAGGCATTCTTTTCATAGTTTCTCTCAACTCCTGTTTCAAGGCAAGCAAATAATCCTCACCCTCTCCTGTTTTCAGTGGCACTGGTTTATAATCTGTATCCTGTTTAAGTTAAAAGACAATGGGATTTTTAAATAAATTAAATATTTTAATATCTCTTTTGCCTGTATTCTGGGAAAAGTCAGTTTATTGAAAAGCTACATTTTACGGGTACTAAGTTATACAATCAACTTAAAGATGGTAAGCTTCCACAATCTAACCTTTTAGCTCATTTTCCTACTTTGCTCTTATTTTAGAGGTAGGAAAGATGTTTAATTTTCCTAATGGCCCTAATTTTCCTATTGACCACACAACTTATCATTTTGTCATACAGTCTGATTCTATAATTTAAAAATCAAGGCACCCAAATGAGAGTAACTGCTTTCATCTCCAATTAATCTCAATCAGTGGTGGTGGTATTGGTGGAAGTGTTAGCATTAAAAAAAGAAATAGTAGCAGCTATCATTTAGCAAGTGGTTACTATGGCCAGGATGGACTCTACTAGGTTTTAGCATCCATGATCTCATTTAAAGTATCATCGATACTTCCCATTTTACAGTGAAGAAACTGAGAGGTGAACAAACTGTAAGCCCATATAACACATAAATGGCAAAGCAGGAGTATGAATCTACCACTTCAATTTAAAAAACTTATATGCACAAACGCATATGTATATATGTGTGTATATATATTCGTAAAAAAGTGGGTCCCCAGGGTACATAATAAAGACAGTTCTGGATTCAGAGGCTAAGTTTAGGATACATTTTCAAAACTTCACTTTGAATTTATTCATTAATTCTATGACTACCTATTGAGTGCCTACTATAAGTCAGACATGGTCAGGCAAAGGTGATACCATTATGAACTAGTCAAAGCTCCCTTCACACGGAGCTAACATCCCAGGACAGAAAGATACAACAAATAAGTAAACAAATGAGGTAATATATAATTTCCTAATGTATAGTTACAGTGATATGAAAAAAATAAGGCTGGGTGGAGGAAAAAGTGACTGACAGAGTACATGGAGGCTAGAGGTGGCTGGCCTACACAGGGTAAGCAGGCCCGACCTCTGGGGGAAATCATGTTAGAGCAGAGATCTGGATAAAATTGGGAAGCCACCCATGCAAAGACTTGGGGAACAGATCCAGCCAGGGTAATCAGCAAAGGATAATGCCTGAGGGAGCAAGGACGCCAGAATGGCTAGAGAGAGAGAACAGTAGTAGGAAAAGGGTCAGAGATATATCAGGAAAGCCAGATCAGACAAGAGCCTGTTAGCCAACAGTAAGGAATTTCAATTTTATTCCATGTATAAAACAGTATGTACTAATATTCAGAGTGTTTAGAAGTAATCTCACAGATGAACAATAGCTTGTTTTAAAAGAAAGCAGTGTAAGGTAACATTATACCTATACCTGAGATATTTATCTTTGTTTTCAGGCTGTAGTGAATATCAGAAAGGCAAAATATGAAAAGCAAAAGTTGAGACTCCTTACATGAGACATCTAGATCCCCAGATACATTTGTCCAGGGTCCTTGACTCACATAAATCTTTCAGCAAAGGCCTTTTCCTTTTGAAACAAGGAAGAGATTCCTGAGGGAGTATCCGGTTATTTATAAATTTTTCATTGTTATACTTCAGCACATGAACATCTGGAAATGTAAGCTTACATTTTAAATTAAATATAAAGCAAAAACATTAGATTAAACATACCAATTAAGACTGCAGCATACTCATTAAATTTAAAAGCAACATTAACTGTAGTCGAAGCACTTATATTTTGAGAAACAGCAAAATTTAAATTGACTTTAATAAAATATGGAAATAATAATTTTAAAAAAGTTCAGTGGGAAATAGGCCAAGTGGTATCTAGGAAGCAAAATTAAATTCTATAGATGCGAGATGAAAAGAAAATCATTAAGTGAAAGTCTGGTACAATGGGAACTGAGGACCACTGTAAAACCTAACTTCGCTTTTAAAAATGTTATTTTAACATTGGGCTGTATCAGTAACAGCAATACAAGATGCATGAATTGAAAAAAAAATTTAGTTCACACAGTATTGAATATATTCATGGAAAGATATATACAGTTTTGTTTTCTATATTTTAAGAAAGCATTCTGAATAATAAGAAAAGGTTCAGGGAAGAACAGTGGAAATATTCAAATTAAAGGTAAGTGAAACACGTTCTTTCTTACTTTCTTACACTTTAGGATATTATAACAATATCATATATTCAAATCCAATAGAGAATTTTAATTTTCTCTGAAACATGAAAAAACACACTGTGAGAATTTGCTGTTAATGTACTTACAGGAAATAGTGGAGGTGGTTTCAGTACTACGTCAGGTAACTTTTCACCTCTGCTAAATCCAACTGCTTCAATATTGAAGGTATAAGCAGCACGTCCTCTTCCTTTATTCCCAGCCATTGGAATTAGTTATACCAGGAAAGTGGGCAAATTCTGAAAGACACTGTTAATGAATAAGATTTACTGGATCATATGAAAAAATGAAACTGACATTTTAAAGCCAAATATACTCGACCGCTTAAGTAGCATAGCTGATTTAAAACATTTCTGGAAAGCAAAACTTGTAAAAAAATAAGCATGTGATAAACTGATTCCTGAACCCCTCACATCTAATCATGTTTGGCAGGTGAGGTGATGATGGCCTCAACTATCTTACCCAGGTCCTGGGTGGAGGCTGACCTTGGGTCTCCTTTAAGATGCTGTCCCAACCACTATTTGGCCAGTTGATGCAATTTTCTCCACTCCTCTGTGGTTTTGCAACAAGATCTCAGATATACATAAAAATGTCAACAAAGAAGGTCGAGCTGATGAAGAGAGGACATTCAACTCGATGACTATCAGCAGTCATACATACTTTAAACTTTAATTTTTTTTTTTTTATCCTAGAATTTGAAAGTTAGAAAGGATCCTTGAGATCAAGTCCAGTGTCCTCCTTTTAGAAATGGCAATGGACTCAGTAAGACCCCGAAGAGGTCTGTCCAAGCAAAAAAAAAAAAAAAAATTAAGTTCAGAGAAAAACATCTGAAATAGTTAAAAGTTAAAATAAATCTGTACTCTCTTTAACTTTGGAGACAGTAAATATGTCACATACTCAAGTCCTGTACTGAACTTCTGGATTGTCTGAAACATGATTACACTATAATATGAGAAATGAGCCAAGTAGTGCATTCATTAACAGGGATTCTGACACTAAGGCTCTTTCACTACAACTCTGCATCCGTAGTGAAGGTTATAATGCCTGCTCTTTAAATCTCTTTTCTCACTGATAAGATTGAATATCATTCAATCCTGTGAGCCCAAGAAAGCAATAGTATGCTCTCCTATATCACTGTTAACAATTTCCTCCCTTTTTTCCCTTGCCATTTATTTGTTAGGAAAAAAAAAAAGAAAAAACAGAAAAAGGAAAAAAAAAAAGTTCATTGTCCATACAATGCTTCTCCAACTTTAAGGCACATGTGAGTTACCTAGATATCTTGTTAAAATCTAGATTCTGATTCAGCTGGCCACAAGCAGGGCCTGAGAATATGCATTTCTAACAAGCTCTCTGGAGGTATCAATGCTGCTGGTTTGCACCCCACACTTTGAGAGTAGCAAGGCTATACATTTTCTCATAAGCTAAATTTGAGTGACTGTATACATGAGATGTGGTTTAAGTCCTCTAATGTAATTCCTCTATTCCCTGTATATTTTATAAATGGGTAGACTAGAGGCTTACTCTAATTTGTGCTTGATTTTTTGCAAGAATATTTAAAACAGATACTCTGTTTTTTCCACATCAGGATGCACATGAAGTGTCTGTCTCAGTGACGGACTCTGGTCAGTGGGTTCAGGTGCTGTCAGTCTGTTTCATCTGGTATAGAGTTCTCCATCCCTTTTGAACCTAATGATTTTAGCAGCCCTTGATGATCCACTATTACTTTATGGATTGTAATGTGGTGACATACAAATTTTATCATTCTTTCTGTATTTAGTAACTGGAATTCTACCAGGAATCACTTCCCCTCATCCACTGTTTAGTTTAATTATAAAATAGAATTCATATAGGAAAGCTACTTATTTTAATAACCAAACTCATTCCAGCTGTTCACTCTTTTTAAAAGAGAAAGAAAATATCCAAATGTGCTTGTTTTAACTGCTGAGTCACTAAAGCATACACTGAACTTACAGAAAGCTCATCTCTCAAGTATGAAAATTGCTTAGCACCTATTACACCTTAATTAAAGATTAAGAACAATTCTAGGTTATGTCTCCCAAGCTTGCTTGATCAGGAGAATTACCTGGAGGACCTATTGAACAGAGAGAGTCTCGAGTGATTCTCAAGTCCTCATACCTGTTACACCAGAATCTTTGGAGGTGGGCCCTGAGAAGCAGTTTAGAAAACTCACCCTAAAAAAAGAGTATATTAACTACCATTGCTTGATGGAATAGCTCTTGAGAAATAGCAAATGCTGCTGCTTCTAAACGTCTATATTTATCAAGCAAACTTTGGCTATATAATTGACATCACTAGTGAATGTACCACTCTCAGTAGAAAAATCAATCCTAGTTTTTAAGACACCCTTAATAATTACATGGCCTTCTGGCCTACAAATCCATCTCTTTTTAGTTAGGTCATCATGAGTCAGTTCTCCTGTACCTGGAGAAGCTGCTAAATTCATTTTCTTCTCTTGTAGAGCTGAGAGGCTGTCTCTTGACTCTGGTAACTGTCTCATGGGAAAAATGGCTCACAGGCCTAAGCATCACTCTTTGAAATCCTTTAAGTTGATTTAATAATTACTTTGTTTCTTTTCACGCTGCCAAACTTCTTGAAGGTTTTTTTTTAAACCAGCTTTCCCTATTTTCTCATTAACCGAATCTTCCTCTACGTCTTATGGGCCAATTTCATTGTGTCATTCATTCAACCAATCTAAAGCATTCCAAGCACTGTGGTAAGACCCAGACAGCATTGAACGAAATGGATTGCTGCCCTCAGGTCTTCAGTGGATCAAAGAACACAAAAAAGTAAACAAATAAGTATATAACATAATATTATGTGCTCTTGTCGTGACTTGAACTGTGTCCTCTCAAAAAATATGTTGAAGCCCTAACTGCCAATAGCTGTGAATGTGATCTTCCTTATTTGGAAATAAAATCTTTGAAGATGTAATCGAATTAACCTGAGTTCATACTAGATTAGTGTGAGCCCTTTTTCCAAAGATTGGTATCTTTCTAAGAGGGAAATCTGTACAGAAATAGAGAGACACACAGGAAAAATACCATGTAAAGATGGAGGCAGAGACTGGAGTGCTGCTGCTGCAAGCCAGGAACACCAAAGAATGCCAGGAACCACCAGAAGCTAAAAGAGAGGTATGGCACAGATTCTCCCTCAGAGCTCCCAAAAGGAACAAAGCCTATCAACACCTTGATTTCAGACTTCTAGCCATGAGAATAAATTTCTGTCGCTTTAAGCCACCCAATTTGTGATCATATGTTATGGCAGCTCAAGTAAATCAAGACAACTCTGAAAAAAACAAATTATGGTAAAGGGATAGAGAATAACAAAGGAGTATGGTAGCGGCTTACTTCATACAAGGAAGGTCTTTCTGTAGGGGATAAATCTGAGCACTGTGCTAGAGAAGGCCTGAGCCACAGATGGAGAGAGATGGGATGGAGATGATTGGACAGAGGAGTAACGGCAAGGGTAGAGGAGGAAGCCACAGCTGGAAGTGTCCAAAGAACAAGAAGCCCATGTAGTTGGTGAGAAGGAGAGGCTGGTGGAGGCCAGATCTTGTGGGGTCCTGTGGGAGCTATAGTAAAGGGTTTGGCTTTTATCTTGTGATGGGAACGACACTCCCAAATATGCTGAAATGCAAAGGTCCCAATGGTCCTCCGTGGCAAAATCCACTGGTCATGTTTGTGGACTTCTGAAATATGCAGCTCATTGCTGCCTCCTCTATTTTGAAACTCTCTCTTTCCTGGGCTTTAATAAAACTCTAGGTTCTTCTACCCCAATGACCATTTTTTTTGGTCTAGTTCTCTTTTTAAACCCCCCTAAATATGGATTTCCTTAAGGTTCAATTTTTGGTCTTCCAGTCTTTTTTTGTCTTCAGAAAATACACCCCCTCTCAAGGTATGGTAATAATCCTACACCATTACCTCCAGCACTGACCTTTGCCCTGAATTTCAGCCCATGTTCTTACTATCAAAAGAATTTTGAGACAGCACCTTAAACTTACATCTAAGGTCCTTTTTTCTATCCATGGTATCTTTCCAGTCACCAACATTTGAAGATTTGGAGTCAGTACTGACTTCTCATTCTGTCCTGTTCCTCCTATCAAAGTAATCATCTGATTTTTCCTTTAAAATGTCCCTTCCTTTCTATTTCTTCTACAGCCCTTTTCCACCTCACATCTGATTAACTGCAAATTTTGTGGTATCCCTTATTCTTCCTATTTTAATTTATTCTTCTACATTGTTCATCCTAACATAGTTCTGATTATGCTACTTTTCCTATCTTCCCTCTTGGCAAAAAAATTAAATCCAAACTCCCTATCCAAGTATTCAGAGCCCTTTTAAGACAGCTGCACCTATCCTCCTGACTTATTCTTTTGTAATCATGTCCTGATTACCATTCTCTCCACTGCAACCTACTCCCCTTCCTCCCTGCCTGGCTGCATCCCTTTTAACCTTAATATCCAGTTTAAGCTCCTCAATATCCACAACAGTCATTTCATCCCACCTTGCTCTTGATAAGATCCTATTAAAATAAATCATCTAGCCCAGGGGCTTGCACATAAGGATAGCCCTGAAGAGAGTGACTGGAAAAATTCTAAATAGGTTAGGAAAATATTCAGAAAGGCTGCATTCCCACCAAAAGCTTTAGGCGTGTAGAGGAGAGTACATCTCTCCTTGTGTGAAGGGTTACTAGCGGCTGCCACAATAAGGGTTTTCATAATTATCTTTTATAATGCTGTCTCATGGGTCTCTATATATTTTCGCGGCTGACAAGGGAAATTAGTCACGTTCTCAAGGGGATTTCTGAAGCCTAAATGGATGTTTCAGTAGCTGGGAGGTGCTAGGTGGGGAAAGGGACCTGGCGTTAAAAGTGGAGGTGATTTATGTGGCTGGCAGGGTCACACACAGTTATTATCCACTTTTTCTGTTCTCACAAGGTGTGGCTGCCTCCACTTTCCTTAGTTGAGCCTTGCTAACAACTTTCTTTGCTCTCTTCCAAGAGCGGATAAACTAACCAATAAAAAAAGAAGAGGGCGGAGGAAGAATACAGAATTTAATTTTTTAGGAGAAGAAATTAACAATCCCTCTCCCCATGAAACAGGATAAAGTGACAGCAGTTAAGAAAACATTCTGAATAGTCTGTCCTTAACAGCAAGTCTACAGCAATGATCCGTGCTTGAACCAATCACATAATCACCGGATCTGAAAATCTACCATTAGTAAGAGCATAAATTCCTTTCTAACTCACTGCAAACAGTCCCAGGAAGTGCCGACTAGGTAAGATCTGGAAATGCCGATTTTAAAAGATTTTGAAGGGATTAGGAGGGGTAAAGCTATCTCTCAACGCCCCTCAACCTAGAGGCGCTTTACCGAATCTCCGCCCCTGACTTCCCCCATCTTCTCCATGTGGCCCTTTAACTCCCCTCTACCTTCTCAAGCTCCTCCCAAGCTCTCAGTTGCTTCCTCTGTTACCTGCTAAGTCTCGAGGCGTGGGCAAAACTGCAGCCGAAGTGCCGACTGGCAAGGAAAGGGTGCGGACAGAAGGCGCCGGCGCAGGGGTGCTGTTTCCAGCTCTGGAGAAGCGCGCTCCGCCTTCCACGCGGCCTCAGAGCTTAGTTCAGAACCCCACCAGTTAGCCCCGCCCACTCCTCGGCTGGGCCCCGCCCGCTGGGCGAAGAGCTTTTTAGCCCTTGGCAGGCGCCGTAGTCGTCCAACACTGGCTTGGCCTGACTGTGAGCCAGCTGAAAGTGCGCATCGCGGCGCGCCGTGTGTGGGCGGATCTGGTGCCTTCTACGTCTCGCGCCGGGCCTCTGCAGTCAGACCCCCAAGGTGGGCAAGTGTCGCCTCCTAGGTCTCCAGTAGGCTGCAGTGGCCCTTGTGTGAACGCTGTCTTGTGCTGCAGCTCCCGATTGCTCCAGCGCCCCAGTGCGGACAGAGCAGCCTCTGCTCTCTGCGGACCTGGCGGCAGAGTGCGGGCGGACACTGCATGCAGTCTCCGTGCAGCCTTCTCCGCCTGATTCTTCCCCCACCCCTGCAGCAGCCGCATCCTCCGCCCCCTCCTTACTCTGCACCTCCTTCCTGGCTGCGGGCAGACCGCTCCACACCGCCGCAGCGCCTGGAGTCTGAACAGTCTTCCGGAGGCACACACGCCCACGCTCACTCCGCCCAGCCGCAACCCTGCCCAGCATGTCTGCGCTCGAGTGGTACGCCCACAAGTCCCTGGGCGACGGCATCTTCTGGATTCAGGAACGCTTCTATGAGTCAGGCAACCGTGCCAACATCTGGCTGGTGCGCGGCTCCGAGCAGGACGTGGTGATCGACACCGGCCTGGGGCTGCGCAGTCTTCCGGAGTACCTGTACTCCTCCGGCCTCTTGCAGGACGGCGGGGCCAAAGAGGACGCGGCGTGTCGGCCGCTGCTGGCGGTGGCCACCCACGTGCACTTCGACCACTCCGGCGGTCTCTACCAGTTCGACCGGGTGGCCGTGCACCACGCCGAAGCCGAGGCACTGGCTCGCGGGGACAACTTTGAGACCGTGACCTGGCTGTCCGACAGTGAGGTGGTGCGGGCGCCCAGCCCCGGTTGGAGGGCCAGGCAGTTCCGAGTGCAGGCTGTGCAGCCCACCCTCATCCTGCAGGATGGTAATGAGCCTTCGCGCGCGCGCGCTCTTATTAAGGGAGGCGGTTGGGAAGACACCTGCCCGGGGATGCATGTTGCACATGTGTGTGGCTGTTAAGGGGCTTGATTCGTCACGTCGCAGAAACACCACTTCTGCGTCTCCCTCCTCTGAGTGAAAGCTCACTCGACCAGAGCGAGGGCCATCGCAGCTTTCCCTGCCAGAGACTAGTTCTGGCACCGTGTAGCAAGGCTCAGTACTCGAATGAAAGATGGCCCCACCCCCTAGTCAGTTTCTTGTGTAACGCTGCAAAGACTTGTGGCTAGGAATTTCCCATTCTTTTCCCGAACACCTGTCTGACATTTCCAGGCGCTTTTCTAGCGAGAAGACTTTTAAGGAATGATGTCTCACGGAGGAGAGTGTGTCATGCTCTGTGCTTTTGAGAACTGCGACCTCATCTGCTAGGTGACCGCCAGCTATGAGCTATAAGCACTTCCCACCTGTAGGCTCAGAAAGCCATTAAAGAACAGTGGTTCTAATCTGCTTGTGCATCCTTATTTTCCAGATAGATTTCTGTTCTTGATGTTGCCTCACGAGAGCGAAAGCTTGATAGAGTACATAAAAAGTAGAATATGTCTGAGTCTTACATTATGACAGATATCTGGTCAGGTTGAAAGCAAGGCCTGAGAAAGATTAATGAGGTTATTTCCGGCGATAGTTAAAGTATGTGGACTAATGCATAGTAGCCCTGGAGCCTCTTTGGCTCTGCGAAACATAGGATGGGTTTCAGAGAGAAACTAATGGAATAAAATATGAGTAAGGCCCCAATCCTTCCAACCCTATGCAGGCACTTAAATAATTGAGCTAATTAGACACAGCAGCAATATTTGTATATTTCCTTCTTTTTAGAATACTTTTGTTAATTTTATTTTATCCTCACAACACGTGTGATGGGGAGGCAGCTGACCCCCAATGAAATGACACGCCTAAAGTGCACAGAGCAAGATAGTGACAAAAGCTAGGATTTGAACTAAGGCACAACAGATCAAAGCATGCAAATCATACACAAATCCTACCTCATAAATATATTACAGTAATTTCGAGTAGAATATGAATCCCCTTTCTTTCCATTATATCTTATCCATTTTAATTGCCAATTTCATTTATTAAAATGTTCCTCGAAGAGGTAGAAAAATCCAGTTACTGCAGTACAGCAGGGTCACTTTATGACTGACCAGTATGACAAATAATAAAATATTTTAGAAAAATTAGTTTTACAATAAGATCCTGATCACTTGAGATATAAAAAATAGAAAGCAAGATTCTATACCTCATACCCTACCAAAAAAGTCTTTTCCTTAAAAATTTAAATTTAAAGATTAAAAAAGAACTGATTTAGAGAGGAGTCTTATATTACCTAACAATCTGAGGAGAAAGAATAGTACATTTACATTAAATGTAGTTTAATTACTGCAGATGTTGATAAAATTGATACTTTTAGAGTTGAGATTTCCATGTAGTTGATGAGTGTTGAGACTAAATTTTTTCTGGCATCCAGACTAAAAATTGTTTACATTACTATTTAAAATATATTTAAATTTTCTAAACGAATAAATTACTTTCGATTTATTTACTTTTGCTCTCTGCCAGCAATAGGAAAGCAATGGTGAAAGAGTAATAAAAATTACTGTTTCATAGATGAATAATAGTCCAAGCAGGCGTGAATATCATGCCTGAGGTCACATAGCCACTTTGGGAAAGAGATGCGACTAGAGTCCAGTTTTCCTAAATCCCAGTTGATGGTAGAATTATAGCCTTATAATTATGACTAATGAATTTTGAAGCTTCAAGGGGCCTGCAGTCCACCCGTGTGGTGTGTTAAGCCTGAAGATGTGAAAGGAAAGCTTAATATTTACCACTTTGAAGGTGATAATACTATGTTAAATCAAAAGTTGTTTTTCATTGGGAGCTGGATGCCTCATCCTCTCCAGTAGTATATAATTTCTTCTTTTCTCAGGAATATTAATTTCCTATCTCTTCTGAATGGTGTGGTCTGCTAACTTACTGTTGTAATCTAGATGCCTGGAAGGAGATATTAAATATTTATATTAAAAATTCATACACAGTTACATACACACATCAACAGTGGATACCAAGCAGTGTAAAGTCTTCATTGTTTTGGTTATAACATGAGGAGGCTGAAACTTCTTTTCTCAGGAATATTAATTTCCTATCTCTTCTGAATGGTGTGGTCTGCTAACTTACTGTTGTAATCTAGATGCCTGGAAGGAGATATTAAATATTTATATTAAAAATTCATACACAGTTACATACACACATCAACAGTGGATACCAAGCAGTGTAAAGTCTTCATTGTTTTGGTTATAACATGAGGAGGCTGGTCTTCTTTTATATTACATTTCATTTAAGTGAATTGATGATCACCTGTCTTGGAGAAACATAAATCTGTACACTGTATCACTAACTCAAAAGCCGACTTGTAAATGAGGGACAAGAAGGAAAAGGAGAGCACATCATCCAGTGCATCATCTTTGATGGAAAAACAACTCACCATACTATTAGTGAAATATTATCTTCCTGTAAGAAGACAGTGATAAATCTTAGATTGATGTAGCACATTCTTCTTGAATGGGCACACATTTTGCCCAATATTCAAGTGATACGAAGTGCTTCTAGTATGCATGTTTAAACAATTTGCCCACAGTCACCAAAATATTAGAGCAGTTGTTTCAAATGGACTTTCCCTTCCAAAACATTGTAAAGGGACTGAGGTTTGTTCATTTTAAGTATAAATCTACATTGAGGAACTCAATGTTTTACATACTGGAGAGTAGTAACTGATACCTGAGTTAGCAGTTTTATCCGATTCTAGTAATGAGAAATCAAGAGCCAGTCCCAGTTTGCACTGCCGGAGCCTTGAAAGGAATTAGTAGCTGGTACTTTAGTGGGGGCAAAGGAAGGAATACCACTAAAATAAGTAGAATTGGTTAAAAGCCATTTAAGAAGCTGTTAAGATTCTAGAACCCTTCTTCCTAAGTGAAAGCCCATCCATCCAGTCAGTTTATTCTATGGAGAGAGTAAAACTGGTTTCTTGATTGAGAGATGTCAAATAATGTTGAGCTCAGGGGTTCAGAGTGGAAATAAGAGGAATAAGTGTGTGTATGTGTATTTTCAGAATGGAAAATAGGAATAAATAGGGAATATATATATTCCCTGCTAGTTTCCCAAATGACTAGAGCCCCCCTCTCCCACCCCCCCCACCCCCTGATAGTAAATTGGAAGTTTTTTTTTACCTGGAATATCTGCCCAGCCATAAAAGACAGACTAAGACGCTGATCCCTAAGTAATTCTTGGCTCGATATCGCTACAATGAAGGCTAAGTCACTAGGTCCCATGCCTGTGTTTCAAGCAGCCTTTTCATCCTGACTCTTAAACAGGCAGCCAAGCATTATGAAAAATCTGAGAAAATCCTCTAACAAGAGATTGAATGCTAAAATAAACAATATTAAGCAACTTGAGAGAGGAAAATACTATTAATATCATCAGGAGATAACAGAAGCTGTCGTATTCAAGATATCCAAGAGATAATACGATGTTTTAAAAATAAGCAACAGATATCACACACACACACGCGCGTGCGCACACACACACAAACTCTTGGAATTTCAGATGTCAGAAATTACTTAGTAGAAGATCTAAAAGATAAAGTTGAAAACTTACAAAAGGAACAGATAGGCAAAATGAAAACTAGGAGAGAATCAATAGAGAACCACTTGGGAAAATCCAACATTGGAATAATAGCACAGATAGAATAAAGAAAGTGGAGGATAATAAAAGCATAGGAGAGAGAATTCAAGGAAAAAAATCCCACGTGTAAGGGATGTAAATTTCCAGGTGGAACAAGTCCCCAGAGTTCCCAGCACAGTGAGGAAAGCCCATCAAACCCAAAGCACATTATTGTACAATTTCAGAATACTGGGAATCAAGTTTCCAGAAACTTAAAAAAGATTATCTATACTTGGAGCTAGAAAAGAAGAGCTATGTCATATTTAAATAAGATTGATTTCCAACTTAGAATTCTACATCTATTCCACTAACAATCAAAGTCTCCAAAAATTATTTTCCACATACTGTTACTTAGAAATCTAGAGAGGTCTACCTTTATCCTATTTATTCCCTTCAAAACAAGGGAGTAAACCAAGATGAAGACATGAAATACAGGAAATAGAGTTAATGCAAGAGAAAGTTGAAAGGATGCATGACAGTATTCCAGGTACAGAGGGTTCTAGATTGGAGCAGTTCAATCATTACTCTCTCTAAGAGGGTGAGAGGATGAGAAATGTGTACATACATGTGTGGTGACAGTAGGTGGAGAGTGATGACTAAGGAGCTAAAAATCCTTATATTTCATAGCGAAAGTCAACAGATAATACCTAAATTTAAAAAGCAAGAAATGATAATACATGAATGAAATCAGAACAGTTTATCTAATTGGTAAATCAGGAAATGGAATATAAAAATTATTTAGAGATAACTATTTTGAGTAGAGGCAACTAACAGAAAAAAAAAAATAGCTAAAACTGTTAAAAGTGGTTGCCTCTTGTGAGCAGGATTGGAAACAGCCAGAATGGCATAAAGAACTTTTTCTTACATCTAAGACTTTCTGGAATATTTTATTTGAAATATGTACATATATTTCTTTGATTAAAAATGAAATAAAAATAAAAGATTGAGGATGCCAAGATGAAAAAGTGTATTTGAGAAACCAGAACTCTAGTGTGGCTGGAATCTTGTAAGTGGGTCAGGATGAGGGTTTGGAAGGATAATATGTGTCTGTGTGTGTGTGTGCATGTTCACGTGCATGCATGTATGTCACATAATGGAAATTTCATGGGCAATTCTGGTTCTTGTAGGAAAGGTTTTGATGAAATGATAGATGTGAGCATTATAAGCATATATAAGGCATTTATAAAGCCACAGGTTAATGGCAGATCTACTAATATTCAGCCACTGTGGCCTTAACAGTTTGGGCATTTACATCTTTTCTGTTGCTAAATATTTTGACTATCAGATGGATATAACCAAAGATCAATAAGACTCTACATTGGTAATTCTCTAAAGCTTCTTTGTTAGGATCAAATTTCCCTCACTCCCCTCCTTTCTTACTAAATAGTTTCCACTTATTAAATAGTTGGTCTCCAACAGCTCTATTATTAAGTCAACTTAGCTACAATTTCTTTACCTTGCCTGCCACTCATACAGTAAGTGGCAGTGGTTTGTGATCCCCAGAGGCACCTTAAATCTGGAACAATTATCTTGTAAAAGAATCTGGCCCCTTATGACTGGAATGTTGGGAAATTTGGGAGTATCTGATCCCATCTCATTGTAATTACTGAGATTCAAGACAAGACCAGAACAATCCTTGCTCCCACCCCTGGCCCCACTGATCTGTTTCATGTCACTATAGTTTCTTTTTCTGAAAATATTTTACAAATGCAATTATTTGATATATAGTTTTTTATGTCTTCTTTCATTTAGCATGATGTTTTGGAGATTAATTGTGTTATTGTATCAGTAATTCATTCCTTTCTGTTGCCTGGAAATAATCCATTCATGGATATAATATCTATTCACCTGTTGAAGGAAATTTGGATCTTTCTAGTTTGGGGCTGTTATGAATAATACTGCCATGAACATTTGCATATAAGTATTTGTGTGGATACATGTTTTCATTTCCCTTGGTAGATACCTAGGAATGGAATTCTTGGATCTTACAGTAAGTATATGTCGATTTTTAAAGAAAGTACTAAACTTTTTCCAAATTAGTTATACCATTTTACATTTTCAACTGCAGTGCATAAGGGTTCCAGTTTCTCCACATATTTGTTAACACTTGATTTTCTCAGTCCTTTTGATTAGCCATTCTAGTGAGCCATTCATTTTGGTTTCATTTGCATTTCCCTAATGACTAATGATGTTAAGTATCTTTTCAGGAACTTATTTGCTATTCAGATATCTTTTTTGGTAAAGGATCTATTAAAATCATCTTTTTAAAATTTGAATTTTTGTTTTCTAATTGCAATCTAAGAGTTCTTTATGTATTCTCAATTCAAGTCCTTTATCAGATATACGATTTGCAAATATTTTCTCCTACTGTATGGCTTGACTTTTCATTTTCTGAATGGTGTCCTTTTAAGTACGAAACTTTATAACTTGGATTAAGTCTAATTAGTTATTTTCCTTATGTTTTATGCTTTTTATGATCCATTTTGAATTAATTTTTGTTAAAATTATTAAGTAAGAGCTGAGAGCTTATTTTTTTATTTGTTTTGTTTGCATATGGATGTCCAAAGTGCCCCAAGTCCAATTTATTGAAAAGATTATCCTTTTACCCACTGAATTATCTTGGTGACACCTTTGTCAAAAATCCATTGACCTTATATAAGTATTTCTTTTTCGACTCTGTTCTCTTTCTTTAATTATGTATATCATTTAGCCAGCACCACACTGTCTTGATTATTGTAACTTTATTATAATTCTTAAAATTAGAAGTATAAGTCTTCCAGTTTTGTACCTCTTTTTCAAAATTGTTCTGGCTATCCTAGGTCATCTGTATTTCTATATAAATTTTAGAGGTACATTTTAAATTACTACAAAAAAAAGCATGTCAAAATTTTGATTGATATGTTGAATCTATAGATCTATACTGACCATTACAGTAGCTACCAGCCACATTTGACTATACAAATACAAATTTAAATTAATTAATATTGATTAAAATATAAATTTTAGTTCCTTAGTTGCACTAGCCTTATTTCAGGTGCCTTTAGCCACATATAGCTAGTGGCTACTATATTGGATAGTTTTGATACAGGATATTTTGATAATCTCAGAAAGTTCTATTAGACATTCCAGCTGTAGGAAAAATTGAATTTAATTGCCATCTTAACAATTTTCAGTCTTCTAATCAATGGACATGGAATATCTCTCCTTTTGTTTAGATCTTCTTTAATTTCTCTTCATAGTGTTCTTATAGTTTTCAGTGTACAGATATAATAAAACATCCTTTAGTCTCTATTTTTGGTGCATATACATTTAAAATTTTTATTTTTAACGTATTGACCTAATGTATTTCTTCATATAGTGTACCTCTTTTCTCTAGTAGTATTGTTTATTTTGTCTGGTATTAATATAGCTACTCTAGGTCTCTGTTTATATAGTATATACAACTTTTTCAACCTATTTTTGTCCTTGGCCTTATAGGACCTTGGCCTTGGCCTTATTTGTCCTGTAGACTGACATGTATCTTCCCTTTTAAAATCTAATCTGACAATCTCTGCCTTTGATTAGAGTGTTTATCCCACTCATTTAATGTAATGATATAGTTGTATTTAGGTCTGCCATTTTGTTATTTGTTTTCTGTGTCTCATTTCTAGTTTATCCCTCTGTTTCTTCGTTATTGTATTCTTTTATGCTTAACAAATCCTGATTATTACATCATTTTAATTCCTCTATTAACTTTTTAACTATATTTCTCTCATTTTTTCTCTGTATGTGTTTACACTAGAAATAACAGCATGAAACTTTTAATTTATGATGATTTACTTAAGTTAGTACTTATTTAAATCCAATAAAATAGCAGTTTTATACTTATAGGGCTCAATTTCCTCCCACTGTCAAATAACTGGGAAGAGTATGAGATTTTACCCTATGTGCAAGTTAGTCTGCCACAAATTAATGGATTCTGAAAGAAGACATGAAGTTTCTGTGCTAGACACTAAGGACAGTTTATTAAAACAATAGCAGCAGTATTTGTACCAATTCCTTAAGCCTAAATTCCAACGGGATGATAAAACAAGGGGCAAAAATATAATACTAGAGCAGCATTCATGAATTATGTCACCAGGATACTGGTACCATGTGTATTCTGAAAAATAAAAGTTTTGTGGTCAAATAAGTTTGAGAAACTGTACAACCATATCTCCTTCATATATATACACAATATGCATTTGCATATTAAAAGCTCTAAGAAGCCTTGCAGAAAAGAAAGCTGCTATTTTCTTTGGAGAAAAAATTTCCAGAATTATTTGACCACACAATCTTTTCTTCTCCTTCATGCATCATAACAACTTGTAGAACTAGTATTCCACATTATTCACTTTGGCAAACACTGGTCTTAAAAACAATAGAAATAAAATACAGACAACTTATTTTTAAATCATCATTAAGAAACATAATATTTTAAAAATAAAAGTATATTGTGTCATCTTTCCAAATCTCTTTCAAACCATTTAATATTCTTCAATTCTTTAAGTTATCGAAGTCATGTATGCAACATGTTTATCTGTAAATTCTGTTTCCATTTGTAGGGGATGTGATCAACCTTGGTGACAGACAGCTCACTGTTATGCATATGCCTGGTCACTCCAGGGGCAGTATTTGCTTACATGACAAAGACCGAAAGATTCTCTTCAGTGGAGACGTGGTGTATGATGGATCACTGATTGATTGGCTCCCATACAGCAGGATAAGTGACTATGTTGGAACCTGTGAACGTCTGATAGAATTAGTTGACAGAGGTTTGGTGGAGAAGGTGCTTCCTGGGCACTTCAATACCTTTGGTGCTGAAAGGCTTTTTCGATTGGCTTCTAACTACATTTCAAAAGCCGGGATATGTCACAAAGTTTCTACTTTTGCCATGCGATCTCTTGCCAGTTTAGCCCTACGTGTAACAAATTCTAGGACCTCACCCTAGCATCTATACTGATAATCTATTTCGATTAATTCTATAAATTAACCCAATTTATTTTGTGCTGTTTAAAATGATTAATGGTGAGCATTTCAAAAAGTGCTATTATGCTACTATTGTATATTAGAGAAAAATGGTTGAGAATGAATAAGCCAAAAAAGAAAGTTCTTAGTTTAATTTTTTTCTTTCTTCCAAATTAGAAACCATTTAAATAAGATCATAATTTGCCTAAGCTGTCATCTTGTAATATTTGCTCTAGAAATGACATAAAAGTATATGGGGAAGCAGGGAGGCATTTTTGTAATAAGAGAAAGAACTGTCCTTGCCTCCCATTTGTCTTTATTTCCTAGATGACCTAGTAAAAAAGGCATAGTGTTATGTTTATACTACAAACTTGATATTTTTAATATATTATTTAAAGATAAAGGTTCTTATGTTTAAATACATTAGAACTCAATACAGACATATAAACTAAGATTTAGAATGACAGCTAAAACAATCCATTGTTATGGGACAGAATTTTTATGCTTCATTTTATTTATTCTTAATGTAATTATAGCGTATATGTTATTTTACTTACAAAAAGTACAATGAATTTTGTTTTATTACAAAGCTTTAAATGTAAATTGCAGAATGCTTCAGTAAAAAGCTCTTACATATTGCTGTTTGTTATTATGTATGTGTAATATCTTCAGTCATAAAAGTGAAATTCAAATATCTGTAACTGCAAATTGTCAAATTTCACAAGAGGACACTGTCAGGCAAATCTGAAAATATACACATTGAGAATAATTTTTTATTATTCCCTATTTTAATATTAACAACTACTATAAACAAGATTTTTCTTGTGAAATAGCAGCTTCAGTGTATGTGTCATATTTTATGGTATCAAAACAACTAACTATAGAGATCTACAACATCCTGATATAAACTATTCTTTTACTTAACATAACATACATATGTACCACAAGAAGGCTTTTCAAATTAATTGCAAAATGTGCATTAGATATTGACTTAGAGTGAATTAATTGCCTTTTTAATCCTGATTCACAACACCTATTCCTGTTCAGTATTCTTTGTCTTAAATGAAAAGAAGTCTACATTTGTAAAGTTATAGGAAAGATTATACCACTATTTAGTAAAATGTTTTGGTTCGGTGCTCTTAATAATTTATTAAAAAACCTTTCAGAATATTTCATAAAGTTTTTTAAAAAGATTTTTCACTGCCTTTTTATTATTGACATGCCCATAACCAAACTGAGATAGCTTTGGAAATGAGACTTTTAGTTTTAGGAAGGTCCAGCAATTGATTTCTGAAAAATTATGAAACTTCCCACCCTACACCTACCCATCTTCTTTAGTCTTTTATTGATTCAACACACACGTGCATGCGCGTGTGCACACACACACACTCACAAACATACATGTATAGCATTGTGCTAAAACACTGTGGAAGCTTAAGAAGTCAAAGAGACTACATCCTAGCTAGAAGTAGAAGGCAAACAAAATATGAATAACAGTATGTGCAGGTTGAAGTGTCAGGGACATAAGTGGCGGGATGTGAAGTTTGGGTTAGGGAAAGGTTCCCCGAGGAGGTTTTTAAGTCAGATTTGAAAAGATAATTTGTTAGGTGGATAGTGTAGGAAACAAAAAGATCCGAGAATAAGGATGGAAGCATTATGTTCTACAGTAGGCTATTCCACGTGACAGTTTAAATTTAATTTTCAGGAATCTTAGGTCTTCCAAACACCAAGTTCTTAGCATAAGAAAGATGGGTTTGTGATTGTGTATACAAGAATCATCCTTAATGACAAAGAAGCTGTACTGTCACATTCCACCAAATGAACCTTTACTTAAAATCAGTAAGAAGGCCATGGTTGTTCAAACATAGAATATCATGGGAGATTCTCTGTAATAATCCTTCAAGGTAGTAGGTTGTTTCAGTTGATAGGGCAACATCAAGACTTTAAATTTGGTTCAGGGCAACTACAAACAATCATTTAAAAAGCCTTAAATATAGCCATTATTTTTATATCAGTAGCACAAAAGAAAACCAAAAGTCCTTAACCATTGACCATTTTATCATACTTTAGGACTTTTTTTTTTAACCAGGTCATAGTAGGCACTAATTTTTATTAAGAAATATTTAAACCTGGTGAAGGCTTTCCTTATTTCCCTAAAAGTACAATTTTTCAAAACGGATATTATTTTTAAATTTCTCAATTTTTTTTTTCAGGTTTTTTAAATTGTACCAAAACATAAGATATTTTACTATTGCTTCAACATGAGTAAGTTAGGGAAAGGATCTCTCATTCAGTTAGTGCCCATGTTTTGAATTTTAAAATGTGCATTATTTAATTTAATCCTGGCCCCAGTGCCAAGAAGTAATCAACCAGCCTTACACAACACAATTGTGGACAAAACTGGTGATTGAATACAGGTCTGCCAGCCTCCCAAACTGTGCTTTTTCTCTTGTACCTGCACAATAACATAAAATTGGCAAAGTGTATTTTTACTTTCCAAGATGCCACATGTGCCAAGAATATCAAGTGATGTTAAAGCATAATAGCATATTTTAAAAAAAGCTTTAAAAATATATATTTTCACCCTGACAGTGACCCTTGTTGTAATTTATGTTTTTTAGAAATAATAGTATGTAAGTATAATTCAAAGTTGACAAAACGTAAGACATAAGTAATTTTTATTATTTATATTGTTAATAACTTAATATTTGGAAATTCATTTTCCTTATTTGGTGTTTTCTTTTAATTGAGAAGTCTTAAACAAAAACCTTGTATGTTACTCTGATATAGTTGAATAAATGGTTATGTGTAGTTGTTCTTACATGGATAGTAATATGAATGTGACATGTACAAGTTGTCCTCTTATAATTTTCAGATAAGTGTAAGTAAACATTTGTGTGATAAATATTAAAGTGGACATTTTATTTCAATCTGTAATTGTTATTTTTTATGATATTAACAAATTCCCCACGTAATTTCTTGTAAGGATATTTACTATATGAAGTACAGTTTTGAAAAGCTGTCAAATCCATAGGCAAGAATAGAAAATCCAGAAACAAAAAAAATACCCATATAAGCCTTTAGTAGTTAAATTTGACATTCAAATCAATGGATAAAGATGGGCTATTCAATACATATCCCAAATGTTGATGTGGGAAATAAGGCCCCTGCCATCATAAATTCCAATGAATTAAAGACTTAAATGTGAAAAACAGAACCACCTGTGTATTAAAATAGAATTTAAATTATTTTGAAGACTTAGGATAGGGAAGGTCTTTATATAGAAACAAAAAGAAAATTTACATCAAAATTTAAAATATCTTAGAATTTAGATGCCATAAAGAAAGTTAAAAAGATAAATTAGAAGAAAATGTTCACAACTTGTGTAACAAAACATTTTTTAAACAAATATTAAAAACGCTTACAAATCAGTAAGAAAAAGGTAAACTGCTGTAGGGGAGGAAATACCTGTTCTCTACCCTGAGGCTCTGTGGCTGGGCCTGAGAATTAAACTTATAAAAGACATTAACAGAAGCAAAGCATACAAAATTTTTTTGATGTTAGTATTTTTACATGTACATGGAGGCCTTCATATGTAAGAAATGAAAACCCAAAGATGCAGATAGGCTTGAGAGCTTATATATCATTTTAACAACAATAAATTATAAAGACTGACAACAGAAAAAGAGGTTTGGGCTAGAGTTGGTAAACTCTGAAAAAGTGACTAGGAAATACACAGGAGAAACTAACTACAAGGGTTATTTTAGTAGGTTTGTTTATGCAGATTAAACTTGGTGTTGACTCCCCATTCCTAGTGATAAGAATGTTCTCCTCGTTCTGGTACAGGAAGGGTATCTTTCTCACAGGAAATTTTATGCCCTGAATTAGGTAGAAAACAAGAATTCAGAGAGCCCTTCCTATATTTGCTTTTTCTCAATTGCCTTCAGCTCAATCGATATGCTAAAATGGGATGTTTTGGAGTGTTCTGATCCTCTTCACTACATACTAGAAAAATGGGTAAATTACATAAACAGGTTACTCATAGAAGAGAGAACAAAAAGGGCTAATAAACATAAAATTATGCTGAACCTTAGTAGTAATCAGGGAAATGCAAATTTAAATAATGAGATTGTTTACTTTGACCAGACTGGAAAATTTTGAAAATATGGAATGTTGCAAGGATATGAATAAATGGATAATTTCATGCTGTGCTGCTAGTACTATAAAGTGCTCCAGTCATTTTGGGGGCAATTTTGGAGTGTGATTTGGCCAAGACCTAATGATACTGAATCTGGAGTCCCCAGGAAAAGGTGCAGTGGGATCACTCTACAATGCAGCATACAATTGCTTAGCCTCCCTTCCTTGCCACTTTCACATATGGAACTCTAAAACCTTCCATTCTTAAGTTTAAATATATATACTAAACACTACCATCTTCTGGGGAAAAAACAAAATAATAATTGGAAATAACTGGAAAAACCACTTAAAGCGGTAAGAAAATTTAACAAAGAGGCAGGATATAAAATTAACATTAAAAATCTAGTGTTCACCAAAGATATACAGATGGCAAATAATCATATGAAAAGATGCTCCACGTAATATGTCATCAAAGAAATACAAATTAAAACAACAATGAGATAACACTACACGCCTGTGAGGACAGCCAAAATCCAAGACACTGATAAAACTAAATGCTGTCAAGGATGTGGAACTCTCAGTTGTTGCTGGAATTATTGAATGCGGTAAGCCTGATTATTCCAAATGATTAGGTTCTTATGTGTACTGTTGTTAACATAATTGTTTATGGTGCCAATAGAGTAGAAAAATAACGATAAAAGCAATCACTGATAATGAAGAGTTGTTGCATCATCACCTCAACTTAAATGATGTTGCCACAAAACCAATTCTCTTGATTTACCCATTTCTTTCACAGGTATCCAGAATCAAACACTCAGTTATCTAGGCCCTTTTCTGTTAAAAATACCATCGTCTTCATGACGTCTCTCAAGCTTGTCTCTTACTTTCCATCCTTTCTACCTTTCATCTACTTCAGGGTTCTATCATTTAACACATGGATTACTGCAAGAACCTTCTACTGTGCTTCCTCTCTCTCTGATCCTAAGCATTACCATTACAATAATTTCCATAAAACACTAATTTTAATAAATTCTCTCCAGCTCAATATTATTTAATAGTTATACACTTATTTACCGATGGTAAAATCTAATGTGCAAGAAGCTTATTACTAGAGGTAGAGAAACTGAATCTATGCTGTATTGTAAGTTCATAGCAAAAGAATAATAATAATGAAATTTAATTATTTGTAACATGATTGTCCACATAGTTGGCATAATTAGATATAATCACAAAGCTACTTACCAATAAAAAATGTTTTTTAAGAAAAGGTGTTTTTAAAAACTATTTCATGTTTATATATGCATCCTTTATCATTCAAATTTTATTTATTTAACACAAGATACATACTACTGAACTAAACACTGGGAATCAACAAATGAATATACAAATAAAAAGTATTAAAAGAATGTTCTATATTATCAAGTCAGATAGAGATTCTGGTAAGCCATGGAGAAAAATGAGACACAATGGGAAAATGAAAAAAAAAGTAATCAAATCATTGATCAAAGTATCAAGAAGAAATGCATGTACATTGAGGTGATCTGTTGCCATTGAGCTATTTAGGTTATTGTAAGCTTTTAAAAATACCTGACCATTAAATAGGTAATAAAATGGACTAATTTTTAAATATTTAAATGACATTTCTTATGGCAAAAAACTGCAGAAATTATAACCTTTTTTAATGTAGACCTGGCAGTTATCAAGTGATCGTCATGATATTTTTAATAGAAATATACGATGTTGAGAGAATTACACAGGAAGACTCAGTTTGACCCTGAGATTCTATTTCATTCCTTTTTAGCAACACTTTAATTTAACCTTCAGTCATAACAATAAAAAGCACTTGAGAATCAGCTGTAAGAATCACCATAGAGACCACACCACCTTCTCAGGTCACATTAATGAGGTCTCTCCATTCTGCCAAGGATGAGCTTCTTGTACCTGGCAGTATTGTAACTAGTAGACAGAGAACTGTGTGGTTGCAGTAATAAATACACACTCAAATTAGCATCAATTAAGAGGGAGTTTATCAAGAGGATAAAATTGGCCCTTTCAAAAATATTTGAAGAAATAATGTAACATTAGGTCTCTGGGAAAATGGAAAAAGAATGTTAGAAACCTAACATTCCTTTCATCACCCTCAGAGTAGAATAGCCTCTACTTGTCTCTGTGTGTCTGGGCATCTCTGCTCCCCCACAAATTTTCTTATACTTGACTTTGATTTCTTGTTCTTTGTTACGTCTCGCCCTGACCTTTTCAGTTCAAGCGTTTAGCATTTTCTGACTCATTGGCTCGGTATCTATATTCAAAAATTCTAAGAAAAAGAATCTGATTTGTTCTATTTAAGTCAGGTGTCTCCAGGCAGATCGATAGGCTGTGGTGGTAGAGGCCTTACTATATGTCCTTCCAGGGGCTAAGGCCAGTTAAAATACATATCATCTAGAGTTTTGTGAAATCCTTAAAGAGGTAAAGCGGGCTTCGGTGATAATATATTCCCAGTTCTATTCTGGAATGTTATTGTTAATTAATTCACACCTTTTCCCCACTGATTTTTAAGAAATTAAGACAACACACACACACACACACACACACACACACAGCGTCTGAGTTATAAAACAGTTGATAAAAAAGCTGTTATATAGACTCTTCCATTTGACTTGTTATCTAAATGACAACTCAATGAACAAATATTTATTGATTTGAACTTCAGTGAATTCAGCACTGGACATATTTGGGTGGGGGTGGGGAGTACAATAAACTATAATACTGGTCTTTGATGTTCATTTTTTTCTAAGTTATGAGAAGTCCAACACCCCGTCTCCCCTTCCCGCCCCTCCCCACCCCCCGCAAACCCTCCATTTCTGGTGATTCCCAATTGACTTATAGGTATTCAGTTCACATGTTTTTATTGTTTATCTGCTTATCCCTGCTACTCAATTCTTGTCGCTACTTTTGCAATCATACTCTTACTTCTCAGAACTTGCCCCTTCCACAATGAGAGAGAGATTCTAGAAAATTCTCTTAGGCAAATTTTTTGGGAGAGGAAGGGAAGACACATTATGTTTTTTATTTATTTGGTTAAGTGGGCAGTATCTAAAAAAACAAACAGGAGAACCCATACGATAATTTAGTTTTCTAATTTCTCTTAGAAAATCTTAAAATCTAACATTTTGGAATCTGTATTTCCATATAGTTGGACTCGAACAGTAGTCTCTTCAGATAGGGCATGAGCTTCCCACTCTGTCATAGCACCCCTACTGTATGCTATATTACGTCCAGTCTGCTTTACTTATTCATTTTACTTATCGGCTTTGCCCTTGTAGGCATTTGTTTTTGCAAACTTTGATTTTTCTTAGTTCATAAGATGTACTGTATTTTCTTATTTTTTTCCCCCAAATCTAATTATCTGGAGAAATTGGGACACAGCTTCAGATTTCAGAATGTTTTATGGTACCACATCATACTCAAAATAGTGAGCCAAGTCAGAGACAGGTAATTTCTATTCTCTTTTAATTTCAGGACAATTCTTTGCTTATCTCCTCTGACATCTACTCCTAAAGCTAAGAAAACCCATGATCTGCTTAATTTATTCCAAAACTTAATGATAGTGTCCCTCATTTAATTATTGGTACTGGCCACCATCTATATAAGAAATCTAGTGCAAAAAAATGCCTCCTTGTGGTTTGCCCTAATATTAAAGCATATGAGATAAGGCTCTTTCTGCAATTATACAGCTCTTCTTACTAACATAATTATGTTACAAAATACTAATGTTGGGAAAAATTGTCCACTA